GTATATACCCTCTGCCAGGGAAGTCCTACTCACTGCCTTCTCGTGGCATTAATGTTGTTTACAAAATTGAGAGGACGAAAAGTGAATGTCCGGCGCTTTAACCGGGTTGGTAGACACGGAATGTCCACCTAAGGGAGTTGTAAAACTCTGATTCCAAACCAATGGTGCAAATGCGCTCTAGGATCCTGAGGGAACAAATGGCGTATGAACCAATCGTTGGTCACCATGGGAATGCATCTCCTTACGTTACTCCACTGCCTTGTGGATCAGACCTTCAGGTTAAAGGCTCCGGGTGTGGCCCCCTAAGAAAACCACCTACTTCAATTTAGGCACCTGGACAGTATCACAGCCCTTACACAAATCAAATAAGATTTGTGCGGCGCATTCGTATCTTGTGCCCCTTTGTACCAATATTTATGTGTTCAAACGAATAGATAAATAAGTAAAAAACACAGACCACTGAGTGGTCATTTCATTCACGAGGAATCGAATTTAAGATTTTCACATCTCATAGCAAGTTCATTACTTTTAAACCATTGAATCTACATTCAGTACTTTCTAGTTTTTCAATGATCTAAAAAAATCCTGTAAATGGAACCGTCTCTCATGATAATCAAACAAGTTTGTTTAAGAATATAAATTGTGAGAACGTAAAAAGTAGAGGAGAAAGGACGACCAATTTTCGACTATCACAATTTATCAGACTATAATTATTTTCTTTTATCATCCGGAAGTGTTCATCAAAGTAGAAAAATTTTAAAAAATTCTAGACTATTTCTGTAAAAAAAAATATTCATATTTTCTCAGATTTCTACTTTTTGGAAAAAAAGATTGAAGTATCCAAGTGTATTTATTGGAATACAATAGAGGAAGAAGACAAATCTATATACATATATAATGTCGGTATTCAAGAATACATAACTTAAAAGTTAGTAAAGTGAAATAGAAAACTAAAAGTATTTTAGCCAATGGATTATTTCAAAATTCTAGTGAGATAATAAAAAGAAAACTTATATTTGTGGATGTGCACTGCTGAGGAGTCTCACAATAGGACGAAACGGCCGTCCAGTGCTTTCAGGTTTTCCTTGATGGTCTAGCTTCAATTGACTCATGCTTTCAACTATGAAAATACAGAAATCTCCACAAAACCCCTTTTAATATTCGCAAGTTAAAACAATTCATTAGGATATAGCTAAGCTTAATATTGTTTGTTAGTAGATAGAAATTGTATAATTCAACATTAAAATTTGGCATTGTTTTCATTAAAAATAACCAATATTTTTGATTGAGATCATGAATCGATCAATGTTAGAAAACCATTGAAAGCTTGGAAGCTCTGGATGGCCGTTTAATCCTAGTATAGGACTCTTCATCAATACACATCCCCGATCCCGCACGCGGGACTTGATCCCGAGACCTCAGATCTTGCACATGAACTTTTAACTTTTAGGCCACTGAGCTACCATTCAATGGTCTTAATGTCTAACTTCAACCAATCCATAAAATCGAGCGAACAGCAAATTCAAAAGGTTCTGCGTTAGTATGTTCTTAGATGATTGCAGATAGTTTTAGATGATTGAAACGAGATCTTCAGTGAAAATTATGGTCTAATGTGTGGTTGTCATCCGATAAACAAGTGTAATAATGCTCAAAAACATTAGATTTTACACATTTATTGAACACTAAGAAAAAAAAACGAATATATTCATATGAAAACGGTTATTTAAGAAATAATATTCGACCAATATTTAACAAAGGGTTATAAAATTTTCTGATAGTGTGGTGAAGTTATATTCACTTGGTGTTCCAGAGTAAATATCAACTGTAAGATGCAGGTATATCTAGCTGATGAGTTCAAACTAGGACGAAACACGTGTTCTGGATTCCACTGCTAGCCACTATCCATTTTTACTTATAAAAAAATATTTCGTCTATTTCAAAAATAAAATTTGCAAAGCTGATAAGGATTTAAAGAGTATTGAGAAAAAGAAACTATTCAGTCATATTTATAAACTTCAATAAATTAATCGTTGTATTTTCATATCATAAAGGTTTTTTTTCATTATTTAATAATGTGTTCCCTAACAACCAGCTATTAGATAACCTCAAGTAATCCATGTAATAATTCATCATTGAAATAAATTAGTAACATCAGTAGTTAGGCTGTTATTACTAAACAAAGACAGAACAAATATTGATGCAGAATGATATGAATTCATTATATTTCGTAGTTTCTCATCAGCTGCTTACAACCACATCTGTATTAGAATTTTAGCATTGAGGTAATAAATAGTGTGGAACAATTGACGTAAGTGAATGTAAAAGATTGGAATGACAAACGGTTATCAATGATAACTATATATATATATATATATATATATATATATATATATATTTACTTACTTACTTATGCCTGTTACTCCCAATGGAGCATAGGCCGCCAACCACCATTCTCCAACCCACTCTGTCCTATCCCTTCCTTTCTAGTTCTATCCAACTTTTGTTCATTTTTCTCATATCTGTCTCCATTTCTCAGCGTAATGTGTTCTTTGGTCTTCCTCTTCTCCTTTGACATTCAGGATTCCATGTGAGGGCTTGTCTTGTGACACAATTGGGTGATTTCCTCAAAGTGTATCCTATCCACTTCCAGCGCTTCTTCCTGATTTCTTCCTCCGCTGGATGGAATCTGGTTTGTTCTCTCTCACAGTAGCTTGTTGCTGACAGTGTCTGGCCATCGGATCCGAAGTATCTTGCGCAGACAACTGTTAATAAACACCTGTATCTTCTGAATGATGCTTTTCATAGCTCTCCAGGTTTCCACCCCGTAAAGTAGAATTGTCTTGACATTTGTATTGAAAATTTTTATAGATATCAAACTGTTTTTTTTTTAGTTTCGCCAATAACAATAGTTTTACTTCATCAAGTTAGCTACAAACACTGTCACCACTTTATTATGTCGCATTTTATTTCATTTCTCTGTACAAAACTCATAATTCTTTTCTTTGAACAGACATTCATAATAGTTTTTTTAATGCCACATTTTCCTCTTATTACCTCAATCTTCAACCGTATAAACATTCCAGGTATGTTTTTCAATACTGATTTTAAAATATTTTCAGTTTGTCTCATTTTATCAAAAAAGAGAAAAGAACTTAAGCACCGCCCCCATTTATTTGTCAAATTAAAAAAACAAAAGTAGTTTCATATTATTGAAAGAAATTCTTTATCTCATATTGATTAACTGACATCCATTAGCTTTCTGTATTATAAGTAGTAGTAGTAGTAGTAGTAGTAGTAGTAGTAGTAGTAGTAGTGTGGTGTGGGCTACTAATGTTGACAGATATAAATAGTATGTATCACTAGTTGAAAGTAAAATGCCTGGAAGCCGAAGATTAAGAAAATCTAAAAGAAAAGAGAACGAGAACAGAAAGTGATTGGTATAGAAACGAAGGAACAACATAGTTTGAGACAAACAATGGATATTTTGCAAATGGAGTATTTACTGTTTGGTTCTCAGATTTTACCAATATATATTTTGTAATGTATTAAAATACATTTGGTTGTCCCCGCTTTTATGTTCTCATCCACTACAGTAGGAGTGGTAGTGTGGTGCTTACAAATAAAATACCAAGAATATTAATTTGGAAATCATCTCGTTGCTATTAGGAATATAACGTGGATGAGTTGTTAAACGCTTTAACAATTCCTTATGAACTTTATATTTCTGACATCATAACATTCAATATCAGTTTAGGCCTACAACTATGTAGATTTCATTGAGGGTTGATATATGTAATAAAATATTCCTTATTAATACTCAAGCTTAATACGGTAACATATTTGATCTACTCAAATAATATGTCTGCGAGGATTCTTTTCTCTCTTTGAATTTATTGCAAACATCTCTTTGCTTAAACTAACAATAGACTTGAATTTACTTAGTATTGCTTGTTTGAATCTTCTCATTGATGTTTAGGACTGCAACTGATCAGTTTCTTATTGGCATATATGCATACAGTGCGTATTGTCTCAATATAGCCTTAATTCACAAGCATTGTAAGGAAAGATGGATAGTGTCTAGCAGTGGAATCCAGGAGACGCTTTTCGTCCTATTTGGGACTCGCCTGGACGCTGAGTGAATAACGCGATGGCGTTTGAAGCGAAAGATACTGCGTTCGAGTCCCAGAGTGAACATCAACTCTGAGATGCAGGTACATCACACTGACGAGTAAGAAGTAGAACGAAACGCGCGTCCTGTATTCCACTGCTAGCCATTATCCATCTTTACTTAACAATAGACTTATTCTTAATTAAAAGTTATTTTTATAAAACTACATATTGTGACATTTTTATGTTGATTCTCACATTTGAAGAATATGATTCTTTATTTTTGTCCTTATCATTATTATTATACTAAATGTGGAAAAGATGTTGATTTAAGATTGAAGAAGTCCATTTTTAATTTAGTAACTTAGTTCATTTAAGAAATAATTTTTATGTCTTAGTTTCATAACACAAGTACGGTAACCATGGTTACGAAAGTTTAAATTTTCAGTACTAAAGTTTTGAGAATAAGAAGGCAGGAGACAGAATGTAGTTAAATATAACCACGATGATGACAGATTAAAATACCATATTCAATCGATGCCAAAAAGGCGTAAAACAGAGATAAAGTACTTTTTTTCATAGAAATAATGAACATGTAAATTGTAAGAAAAAATAGCTTTCTGTAAACATCAAACCATAATGTAAACAATTTAAAATGAATGAGCCTGATACTATGGGTAACTTGAAGACTTTAAGTCTAAGCTTTAGTAATTTCATACATCCGCACTACTGATAATTCCCATACCTGAATGAAATAGCTATTCAGTGAAACATGGTTCAACTGTTTCTTCAGTTGGTCTCAGTCTGTGATTATCAAGTAATAGCTTTGTGCCAATTTTAAATTCTGTTCATCTATCAGTATTCTCACTATTCAATTTGTTTTTATAATACAGCATCTAATCCGTGCCTACATCATAAATGTCGATGGCAAGGTGAAAAATGTCAAGTTGATGTAAATGGTCAAGCTAAATGTACATGTCCTGAACCTTGTCCATCGGCTATATCTCCAGTCTGTGGTAGTGATGGAGTAACTTACGATAGTATATGTCATTTAGAAAGAACAGCATGTCAAAAAATGAGAGAAATTCGTGTAATTTATTCAGGAGAATGCAGTAAGTAGTTATTTTTTTATTGAAGATTTTTAAACAAATTGGTTACAAGAATCAAATTCATTACTATGTTTACATGAAATTATTCATAAAGGTGAAGTAGTGAGAGATTTTTAAGGTAACTAATAATCCACAGATATATCATCTGTCTTACTTTCATATTTACGGATTCAACCTAAAACACTCAGACCCTCCAAACAGCGGGACATACTTCCGGATTAACAGTGTTATCTAGATGCTTTCTTAATATCTGTAATTTTTTTTTACTGGAAACATTTACATGACCAAATAAAATAACCCACCATTGATGTATTACATTTTAAATGAATTCGTTCACTGTTGAACATAGGAACTATTCACGTTTTTGAATATCCAAGAGAATAAACCTTTTTAAAAGTACGTTCGTAGTACAGTAACAACTTATTAGTTTGAAATTTTTGAAGCAAAATAAATGTTCACTCTCAATTATTAAATTCCAGAATAATCCTAATATGGACTATGTATTCAGTTAACTAAAACTTTATTACACTGAGATTGACTACAAATTTGTACTTCATTGTTATACGATAGAATACATCGTACAATATAATACCATCAAACTCAAATTACCAGGAGTGTCTAAGACAACTCTCTTTAAATATGAGGTATCAGGTTTGAAGTCTTTTCAACATATCATTCGACTTAGGTTCTGAGCCATTAAATAGTATTTTCACAGTTGAAAACATGAATAAGTTGAAGCTAGACCACCATGGTAAACCTGGAAGCACTGGACGGTCGTTTCGTCCTATTATGGAATTCCTCATCAGTGCGCATCCACAATCCCGCTTCGCGAGATTCGAATCCAGGACATATCAACCTCGCGCCAGAGCAGTTAATCGATAGACTACTGAACTGGTTGGCCTCCAAAGGTGTTAATATCTAACTTCAACCAATCCACGAAAGTGAGCGACCATCCACCAATGTCTTCAGTGAGTTGATATCTCCCAACAGACCTGGTTGAACTCCACTGGTTACTGCTTCTCACTAGAACTCCAGGAAATACCTCGTGGAGCCAGTCACTAATGAGCATATGATTATAATCAAAGGAGGATGCGCGCTGCTGAGGAGTCCCACAATAAAACGAAACGGCCGTATAGTGCTTTCAGGTTTTCCATGGTGGTCTAGCTTCAATTGACTCATGTATTCAACTATGAAAATACTGAAATCTCCACAAAACCCCTTTTGATTATTAAATAGTAAACAATTACAACTTCGAATCGGATGTAAAAAAAATTGCTCCGGGTTTTAAGGTTAGCTCAATACCATCGAGATCTTGAGTTACAACTCAAAAGTCTAGTTATTTTCGAGTTCTTCAGAAATTATCACAAAGAGTGTTTTATGACACATACATGCCGATTAACTGCAGGAATAACCGAGGTATTTCAATGATTGATTAACTCACAGAATTCTAAGTGAAAAGTCATTACAAAATGGAACAAATATTTAACTATGGTGGTATGATGATTTGCTATTTACCAGATAACTTATGACTTTGAAAGTCCAGCTGTTCAATATTAAATTTGTGTTATATTTTACGGTGAAGTTAGTTTATCCGTATGTAATTATTGTTTATTAATGAATATTAGAGAATAAATAAAAGTCATAGAACCTTCAAGCTTTAATTAGAGTGGATTTTGCAAATGGGTATATATTTCATTAGATTTCATAGTTACTTTCTTACTTACACCTGTTACCCCTCGTGGATGAGCATAGACTGATCACCAGTATTCTCCATCCAACCCTGTCCTGGGCAGTCGTTTTCACTTCTTTCCAGTTAACATTCATCTTTTTTATATCTGCTTCTGTTTCCCGGCGTAATGTGTTCTCTGACCTTCCTCCTTTCCGCTTCCCTTCGGGAATTCAAGTAAGCGCTTGCCTCGTGATGCAGTTTGGTTATTTCCTTGATGTATGTCCGATCTATTTCCACCGTCTACATTTCATATTACACAGTTCAAAATTAAATTGTTAAAGATTTCTAAAACTTCAGATGGTGTATCGATGAACAGTGAGTTCTTAGCACTTTTTACATAGATTCAACATGTTGACAGTTATCATGTACTCACTAGTAACTAGCTGAGAGGGTTGTAGTGAGAAGTCAAGATCAGTAGAATTAAACCATGTCGGATGTACGGAAGGTACCCACTAAAAACAACGGAGGATGTTTTCTTACAGTTGTAGACTGATTGAAGTTAAACTTGTACACCATTAAATCCCGGCTCATTAGTCTAGAGTTTAAGCGTTCACCCACGAGACCGATCATCTTGAGTCCGGTTCCTACCTGTAGGGTTGTGAAAGTTCGCTCATGAGGAGTACTATACTAGGACGAAATGTCCGCCAAGTCTCTCTAGGTTTTAGATAGCGGTCTAACTTAGATAAGTTCATTATTTTAGTGATATATGTAAAACTGGATGATTTGTTTTCCGTAAAAATCCATACTAACTTAAATTAAAATGGGGCTTTATGGAGATTTTAGTAATTTTATATAGTTGAAATCATGAGTCAATTGAAGCTAGACCACCATGGAAAACCTGGAAGCAATGGACGTCAGTTTCCTTCTATTGTGGGACTCATTAGCAGTGCACATCCACGATCCCGCCTCACGAGATTCGAATTCAGAACCTATTGGTCTCACGCACGAGCGCCTAATCTCTAACTCACTGAGCCGGCATCAAACAGTGTTAACGTCTAACTTCAACCAATCCACGAAGTTAAGCAACCATTCACCAATTTCTTCAGTGAGTTGTTATCTCACAACACACCTGGTCGAACTCCACTGGTCACTGCTAAGGAGTCCTACAATGGAACGAAACGGTCGTCCAGTAGTTTCAGGTTTTCCATGGTGGTCTAGCTTCAATTGACTCATGATTTTAACTATATAAAATTACTAATTTAAATGTTTAAATAATCTTCAAAAAACTTTCTGTTTGATTAGTCTACTCGGTATAGACATATTTTACCTTGTTAATAGTTAAATCGGTTAAATAATTAAGGCATTCAGACAACAGATAGACATAAATTGATTAGTATTCTAAAGATACTTATCTTCTTTTTATTGATCTTTTAAGGTGAACCAAAGGATTGTATTCTGCTCAATCAACCATGTCAAGGATATGAAATATGTTCTCGAATTAAAAATCCAGTGGTTTACACTTCAATCAACCGTAAATTGGATGGATCCGTTTATGACATTCCTAATGCTTTTGAAGATACAATTCCACAGTGTATATGCCCTACATGCCCAGAATATGGTCTAGGTGGGCAGGTATGTGGATCAGATGGGCAAACATATCGTAGTGAATGTCATTTACGATCAAGCGCCTGTCAACGACACTCCACAGATCTAATTGTTAAATCAAGAGGGAAGTGTGGTAAGTAATACTCATTCTAAGTATTATGAGAGCTTTCATTGTCAACTAGAATATATGTTGCACATCCTGTTGGATGTTATGTCGATAAAAAACTAGTCACAACTCCTTAAAAGTCATTAATTCAATTACAATGTGCCCTTAAAATAATTACTTGCAAAATTGGTAATGTCTGTCATTTGGCAGTTATTTTTCTGGATATACCTATTGATCTTGTGCACGACAATATCAAAGCATACGACTTAGTAGATGATCAGTTTAGCTTAGCAGAGGAACAATATAAAAGTAACGAATATAACGGATATTAAATCATTAGTTCGGTTTCTTTAATAGAGTATATTGTATATATGATCCTTTAGTTCAAATGTCATACTCTTCTCATTTAGTAAACGTTTAAAACTAGGAATTATCTTCAATAAAAGTATTATTGCCTTGAAATGAGCATTGAAAGAGAAGGCATATTATAGATTCCGAGTGGTTGTACATAATAAAGTCATTAGTTTTATCATGCGGATATGTGAACTGAAAGATTTCAAACTATTCCATTTAGATTAGGTTGTTTTTAGTGTAGTACAATCATGAAAACTTTTGAAGCATTCTATGTTTAATATACATTCAACGCTACTTAGTACAGACAAAAATTTGAATTCATAAACATTGAACGGACACACTTGTTGAAGGCAACATTTGGTTATGATTAAGTATTATGGTGGTGAATGTCAATATACTGAATGGTGTACAAAGTGTTTAGCATTTCACATGTTTACACAATTTTTTTTATTAAATTCTAATGTGACTGTCTGTGGAGACAGTAATCCATAAGAACATGTAATAAGATGTTTCGCGTAGGAGGTTGACGGAGATCATCTATCTTGCAGTTTACATGTCTGAATGAATTTACGAAAACAAATATTGAAAAGTAGCAAACACTGAACAGCTTTTTCGTCCTAGTATATAACTTCTAAACAGATCGTAAATATTAAGAACTAACTACGAGGTCTAGCATAGTCCAAACAAACAACTTCTACTAAATTCATGATCAGGTGTACGTACCAATTAATGTTTTCAAAAACAAATTCGTTATAGTTGAATAGTAAGTTTGTTTTATCCCGTGGAGAATTACGAAAGGTAACTTTGAGAACTATTTATGTACCGATGTGATATGTATATTTCCTATTGTATAATTGCTAAGTAACTTAACTATTCCTATTCATGTTCCTCTTATTATAAGCTTTATTTTGATCTATAGACTATTATATGATCTACCATTCTTGAGTTATCCCTCGTCTATTGATTACTGTTCCCCCTTATTCACAGCTACATTTGACCAAATCTTGTACAAATGTTATTTTCTATTTTATTGGTACTATGTGGTCAGTTTGTTTGGTATATACACCCAGTGTGTTTGAGAATAATGATTCATATTTCAGACTCTGTTATTGGTGTTCTGGACTTAACTGACTGAGCTAAGCAGAAATCAGGATTGATAAGTACTCATGACTGCTCATACGGCTTTTGTGTATCGACAAAACACTGATCTCTGATAGATGGTTATATATGAAACTGGGTACGCACGCATTCACATGTTATAACAAAGTCCTACTAGATTAAAAAGGTTCCAATATATTTTATAATATTCTATCTAGTTACATTGAATAAATCACTTTAAAGTAATAAGTTTGTACACACATATTATGTAATTAATGACCAGTCATTATTATTGATTATTTATATAGGTGATCATAATCATGGTGTTAATCAATAATTCTAGTAATTAAAAAAAAGAAAAAAAATCATAATAATAACTAACTCTAACGATACATTGGTAATAAAAATCAATCATAATAAGAACTACTTTCATATCTGTTTATTACATGAAAAACAACAAACGATATTGGTAATTAATAGTTGATAGACAAGTAACCATTACATTGTATACTGTGTTTTCTATTTTAAGCTTAATTATAACAAAATACTAGATGACTTGGTGGCTTTTAATTGATAATCCATTCTGTCAAACAAAGATTTGATAAAGAGTAGGAATTAGTTGATTATTGTCAAGGTTGGACAAATATATTAGATAAATAAGTTAAACAGTTGAGTCTATTCAATTGATCAATACTATTATACATAAAATGTCTTCTTCAAATGAAAATATTGATAAAGTTCATAGATGAGTGAGATATAAATTGACAATATGGAAACTTGTCCAAACTTTTCAACTATGCTGACTAGTGTAATGGATGGTTGGAAAAGAGTTAGGGGCGGCTAAACCAAAACATGACATCAGTACTTGAAGTCACTAACTTCTAGTCTGAACCATGTTGATAGATGTAAACTACCTGGTTGAGGTCCGCGTGACTATTGTAACCAATGGTTGAAGTCTCCAAGTGACATGGCTGAGAATCGATCACAATGGCATAGGTGTATAAACTCTTTATCTTACCTTAAACCTTAAAATTAAAATTGTTTCATAACATTCTTCCTTCCTAATACTATATGCTTATATACAACCTATCTTTTATATACTATCACCACTAAATTAACTATTTCTATGAATCGGGTGTTGATCTTGTTTTCCTAACGAGGTATGGCAACTTGGACCGATGTATAAATGTGCCTCGTCCTACGTTGTAGCTGACTGATTGACTGACTAATGTTTAGTTGTTTTGCGTTAGAGGAAAACTCCTCAATAGTTCCCACGCTTAATTTTATGAAGAATAAGACCTTAAACACTTGATTTATGTGCTAAATAATGTTGTTCAGTCAGTGATTTTATTAATTTCTTATTCTAAACGCTGAAGAGTCCATCGACAAAGATTTATGACTTCCAGCACTACTGGCTTTAAAAGTTATAAATCAGGGTTTAGAACTTTTTAACATGTTTCCTTAATATCATATTTTCGATCTGGTGCTCATTTGACTAAGAATGAAATACACAATATTCTATTATTTCAAAATAGATGCATCTACAAATTTTTCAAAGTTGAAATCATGAGTCAATTGAAGCCAGACCACCATCGAAAACCTGGAAATACTGGACGGCCGTTTCGTCCTATTATGGGACTCCTCAGCAGTGCGCATCCACGAATCCGCTCTCGCGAGATCCGAACCCAGGACCTACCAGTCTCAAGCAGAAGACCTTGACCGATAGATCACTGAGCTGACATCCAACGGTGTTAATGTCTAACTTCAACTGATCCACGAAGTTGAGCAACCATTCACCAATTGTCTTCAGTGAGTTCCTATCTCACAACAGACGTGGTTGAACTCCACTGGTCACTGCTTCCCACTAGAACTCCAGGATATGTATCTTGAAGTCAGTCACTAGTGAGCATATGATTAGAATCAGAAGGGGATTTGTGGAGATTTCAGTATTTTTCAAAGTTGAAATCATGAGTCAATTGAAGTTAGACCACCATGGAAAACCTGGAAACACTGGACGGCCGTTTCGTCCTATTATGGGACTCCTCAGCAGTGCGCATCCACGAACCCGCTCTCGCGAGATTCGAACCCAGGACCTACCAGTCTCAAGCCGTCCAGTGTTTCCAGGTTTTCCATGGTGGTCTAGCTTCAATTGACTCATGATTTCAACTTTGAAAACTACTGAAATCTCCACAAATCCCCTTCTGATTGCATCTACAAATTCATCAACTGAATACTGTATCTCCTTTAACTTCATGTTATCTTATGTTTTTGAATAGTAACATTTTGTTTAAATCAATAACCGTTTTGTAGACGCGTGTCAAACAAAACAATGTAAATATTATGCAATATGTCAATTAAGCACATTCGGTGAACCACAATGTATATGTCCAACAGATTGTCTTTATGTAAGTTCTTGTTAAGTATTTTAATGTATGCTTTTCTAATTTCCTGATGATTTGATAAATTTAAAATTAGCCACTACTTGCAAATTGATATTCGATTGACTTACCTAAAAGTTTCAGCTACAAACCATCATAAAGTTTTTTATTCATTTATCCAGTCTTGTAAATCAGACATTTAGGGGAAATAATCGACCATAAGATCTGGAGTGATACTAATCGATGAAAATTTTCACCACATACTCACGACAATAATGATATTTATATTGTAATGTATACAGTTAGAAATCTTTATGAATATGTCATCGAGTAGCAACCATAGTTATGTTTGTCGTGTTGTTGATGCTGACCTAGTTTTATCGATCCCTTTAGGTTCCAGATTTCCATTTTCAATGAGTATCATCTTGCACATAGTTCAAGTCTAAGGCTTCCTTTCGATTGCATCTAACCAACTAGCATAATGTCAATATTGATACAGATTACAATTTTCTTTAGACGAATGATGAACAATCAGTCAAGTAAAACATCTTTGATTACTTAAACGAATATTTCAACCTACGAAATTCCCCTATTTGACAATTCACTTTTTAACTTGCTATTATTTGTTAACTATTAAAAGTAGTCTCCACCACATATATCTTGCTCTAAATGAAAATCACCATGTACGTGTATAGGTATGGCGATATGTATTATTGTTTCTACAAATACGTTTGAACAAAGATTTATCAGATAGTATATGTCCAGTCAATTTGACAAAGTGAAAATTTAGAAATTAGAATTGGGGACTTTATCACGAAGTTATATCAGCTAAATTGCCGAAACGCTACTTAGCCAACTAAATGAATGAATTTCGCGCCAATATCCAAAGCCTGCTATTGTAAACCTAATCGGTTCGTCCACAAACTATAGATTCGCCACAAAATACATAATCATATGTGATAGCATTTTAGAGTACTGAATTATCATCAGAATATAAGTAATCTTCATTAAAAATCTTCTAATCGTAATATTTTCCTTAATGGCCAGTGTAAGATATGCATGAATACGCTAATAAACTGGTAGAGCTACATTATCATCAGTGTTTCCGAATGGTATATGTCGCATAGTATGAAACGGCTAGGAACCAGTATTTTCTTAGTGATAGGAGCTGGAACATCATATTTTTGAATAAATAACGCACAGAATAGTGGTCCCAGTTCCTTTACAGGATATTCATAATCATCCACAACTATAAAAAAGAAAACACACCTCATAATATAATATATGTGGTCAAACATTTTTAACAGATATGTCTATCATTATTTAGGTCAGAAAGCCAGTGTGTGGAACCGATGGTAAAACTTATGAAAATGAATGTTTTCTAAAGGTGAAATCATGCGCTGACCAACGTGAAGTTCATGTTGCTCAAGAAGGATACTGTCGTAAGTGTCTATACTGTAATAATCTTTCGAATTAAGATAAGGATTATTTTACTGTTTAAATTATTCATCTCCTACACCTTTTATTAAGCAGTGAAATAAGTTTTTTTATTGATTTGAGAGCAAACATTCTTAAATAACTAAGCAATCAATAGTCTACCACAACTTTTGCTAAGTAAAGGGGACCAGTAGAAAATTCTTGACTAATATTATATGATTAATATACTTCTTCAATAAGGTAATATCTTCCACCTTAGAAGAAATGATCTTTTAAAGACTTTAACCCACGGCACTCAACACCAATATCAATACAGTGATTTAATTATTGAATGTGTATCGACAACAATCAGTTAACCAGCCGCTTTAATGTAGTTATGTCTGTCCATGAAATAATAGCCATCACGTAAACTGTAGAAGCCATTATATGGATTAAGTATAAGTTATGCATCTGCATACAGTTCTTATGTTTGAACTATCCAACATGATATATTGTAACATACAGTTTAGTACGGGCCATGAAAGAACGGTAAGTTCTAATTTCTCTTTAGAACATAATCCAAAAGACTTTTAATCAAGAGTAAGAGACACTTTGAATAGTCTAATATCAAGGTATTTCTTGAATACAGGATATCGGATTGATGTCTTAACAATTTTCAAAATGATTAATAAACAGCCCAATTCCGATCTTTTGAAGTTTCCTGAAGCCATTGGTGTCAGATTTCAGAAACCTGATTTATATATTCTAAACGAAACAGTCAATAGCCTTCCTCTACCTTGGTCATTTAAACTCTTTCTTGACAAAGTAAAATTCCTATCACTCTTTATTATCTCGATTGACTGCATTGTCAAGTCACTTTTTCCAACTCTCTTCTAGTTCAATAACTTTACTTTTTAACCAAATGAGGGTTACTCAATTTATTCATACTTATCACTAGCGTCTTTCCATTACGTAACCACTTTAGCCCTTTAGTTTTCTTACTACCAATGTTTCAGAGTGTTCTTCTACATGTATGATAAATATTTTCCATTATTTTCTTTAGTCCTTTAAATTTATCTATAACGTTAAAATGTGTTAAAAACAATTTTCATTCAAATAAATTTGCGCTATTTAAACTCACTAAATGAAATGAATTTATATTATTTCCACAGTTGAAATCACGAGTTGATCTAAGCTAGACCACCATTGACAATACTGGAAGACCGTTTCGTTCTAGTATGGCACTCAGTCCCGTGCTTCCAAGTTTTCGATGATGCTCTAGCTTAGAATGATTCGTGATTTCAGCTGTGAAAAATACCGCAATCTTCACAAATACCCACGATGATAAATCATATTATTTCACACATAAGTTTGTTATTGCTTTCTTCAAAATAATAGAGAGAATTATTTGTATACAGAACGAGTATTATTATTGTTGTTGCACCTCAACATCGAGGTGCACAGGACAAGCTGTGAATCACATGTAGAGAAATTCAAACACTTCACTTCTACTCGAAGTTTATGCTGATGATGTCGTTCAGAAGGACAATGAAAGCTAAACGACCAAACCATCCCACTCAGAGTACAAAATTCCATCAAAATCACTCACCTGAGGTACAAATCTTCTCCATTATCGTTATTATTCTTATTAGGTAACATCGCATCTCAAGTCAGTTATTCTTTAAAATGGTTAATGGCTTAGTTATCGTTAATTGGTTAGTATTACTTCGTAATGAGTTGTTTACAGTTGACAAAGTCGATGGTTTGTATGATCCTTTGATCGTTGATTACCCTTTTGAAATTAAAATGTATTAAATTTAATTGTAAGCGAATCTGTTAAAACGTATTTCTCAATTTGCCCGGACAAACATGACATAGTCATCCGGTATACTCTGATTTTATAATTATTCAAGTGAGATCAGCCTAGAATGAAACTCATCCAAATATCTTCTATCCATATGAGCGTCATAGGAAGTGTGTGCCCAGTACAAGTATACATATCTTATGTTTATCTAACAGTAACAAAATAATTCATTATATCAAACTGAATGAATATCCTCTATGTACTGCCCTTCTTATACCCTTATGAATGTACAATACAATCAAGTAAATACTTAAAAGTCTAGAGATTTAGGATGCGCAGTGATATGGTAAGCCAATCAGAAGTAGTCAACCCATCATAACACATAGCCCATCTCAGTTCGAGACTACTACTCAGTGAACGTTCTGCCGTTGAGTTAGAATTTATTGAAGTAAAGATAAGAGCATACGGATTACACTTTCATCATTCAGTGAAATAATGTGTTCCATAACCATACATATACTAAGTATCCGATTAAATTGTAATAGTATGTATTCATTTATTATCTGTGATCATTACCTCTGTTCAGAAAATGTTTATGGTCGTTTTCTACAAAGAGACTTCATCAGATTTCCTTTACATTTCAAAACAACTAAATAGGTCCATGTACAGCTGGTTGTCCACTAGGTTTTCAATGTCGTAATGGTCAATGTGTATGTCGAGATACATGTCCACCAAAGCATCCAACTGAACTTGATGTATGCGGTACAGATGGAAAATTATATTCAAGTGAATGTGAACTTAAACGTCAAGCTTGTATTCACCAAACTAATATAGACGTAGATCTAACTGGTGTCAGATGTCGAGGTAAAAATCCAACTGTTCTACAAGATACAAATATGAAAACGTCAGGTAACATACAAGCAGGTATGGAAGCTAATTACTGTTTAAACTGTAATTATTTTTTTTTGTAGAAATTTCAATACATGTACACAAATAGATTGTATGTAATGGCTAGATAAATTGTATTACAATCAATGTGACCTTAAATTCTAATATATATGCTGTCCAAAGTGGTAGATGATCTGTATATTGATATTCTTTCATACCTTATTCAAATTCGTACGTTGTTCTCAAATAATGATTTTTTTCTTCTGTGTCAGGCTAAAATTCATGATTGTTGCATTTTCAAATCACAAATACGGCTGAATGCCTTATTATTAGTATTCAGTTTACCCAATCCGTTTTCATGATCAAAACTAACATAAATACATTCTTGGAGAGATATTAAGTAATTTCCAAAGAACAGAGGGATATGAATTTGTACTTGTATGCAATTGATAAATGACACTAGAAATTTGTTTCACTCACTTTAAAGCCCGAATAAAATATCTCCAAAGGACAAGGGGAGCATTACTTAAAAGTAATCATTAAATTTTCTAATGTATGTAAACCAATCTTTATGAACTTCATTACAGGAGAACCTCAGCTCTCTGAATATTTACTGAAATACAGTAAAACTGTTTGCAAACCACTTCAGTCGACCATTCATTTAAATGACTAACTCCTAGAAGCTTTGAATCTCTTACGTAAAATTACTTTTCTACAAACATTGGAAATAGTCCATTCTGTAATTAATTAGTCTTTAGAGAAAATCGTCGTTAATTTTTATGATCCTTTACAAGACTAACTATAGATATTATTGTATGGTGTTCACTTATAACTGAATTCAAGATAGGTCTACCCAAGTTTCTATGAAAACCTGGAAGTGTGAAGGTGAACAAATCGAGAATAAGACTGTTGCCCACTGACAACTTTGGTTGATTATCACATTAAATTGCAAATAAATTGCAGTAAGAATTCTTGACCGCCAAATTTAGGTTTAGTAGTTAGATAAGATCTTTTAGGATACGGGTTCGATTCAGTGCTGAATAGTGATCGAGCACTTCTTAAAAATCCCAAGCAAGATTGAAATAGTTTTCAACTATCCATTCGTTTCCGGTAATTTCTCAACTGAAAAGATTAAATTGTATAATTCATCGCTAACTAGAATATTCAATATATTTTGGTTTTCATACACATCGACAGAGATAAACAAGGTTTACCTTTAAGTGGAGTATCTAGAGGAAACTGATAAAAGTACATTAACATACAAGGAAAAATGTTATCAAGAAAATGTTATCAAGAAATTCACTGAACTCCTCAGATTCACTGAGAAATCATGAAACTTTATTTTTGACAGAACCAAATCAAACAAACTTTGTTGGATACTCTCTAGTCTTTCATATTTGATATTCATGTAAAAGTACACCAAATTTTACTCAGTAATAATCCCTTTCCATACAATATGGTTTCTAGAATCAGTTTATGAAAAATTAACAGCTATACTGTTTCACAATAAAACAGAATGATTGTTCAGTATGCTTTTTGACTAGTAGTCTATAATAAACATATTTTTATGTTATATCCCAATGATTAAGACCATAAGTCGATTGAAGCTAGACTACCATGAAAAACCCGGAAGCACTGGACGGCCGTCTCATCCTATTGTGGGACTCCTCAGTATGCGCATCCACGATCGCGACTCGCGAGATTTGAACCCAAAACCTATCAGTCTCGCTGAATCGGCATCCAACGGTTTTAATGTCTAACTTCAACTAATCCATGAAATCAAGCGATACATCCGTCACTGTCCTCAGTGAGTTACTATCACACGACAGACCCGGTTGAACTCCACTGGTCACTGCTTCTCACTAGGACTTCAGAAAATACCTATTAAACTTACTGCAATATCCACAAAAACCCTTTCTGATATCCCAATGAGTAGAAAGAAATTGTATTTCTGACTTTTTCGTGACTTAATGTAGACCACTTCTTCAGAGTAAATAAATAACTGAAATTAAATTAACACAAGTTTAAATAGTAAAAAAGGGAGACAATGTTTCCTTTAAGTCACAAAACATCAGAAATACAATTCTTCGATTGATTGACATATCACAAATAGTATATTCATTATTAACTTGCTACCCAATACTCCAGTTATTTAAAACTATCAAGTCCAACCTGGCCATTAATATCTATGTTAGTCTATACGTACTCGATAATGAACTGTTATAAAGGATCTTATTTTTAAATAAAAGCATTTACATTTTAATCCAAAAAGGTGTTTGAAAATTTTTTTCTTTTCATATTAATAATTCAGATGGTGTAAGACTATCAAGTTGTACATGTAATAAACTTGGTGCACTTTCTGAAGAATGTGATTACTTAGGTAATTGTAGATGTAAATGGGGTGTTGGCGGTTTAAAATGTGATCAATGTCTTGCAAATTATTGGGGTATACAAAATAATCATGAATGTATTCGTAAGTTTAGAATTAAATGTAATTCATGTAATTTTAAAACTGGTTAAGATTCTATCATTTGTAAGATGATGGTTGAGGGTAGTCAACAGGAAACTCTGGACCTAGGTTTCGTGCTATTTGGCACTTTCTCTCAAGATTACAGGTACACTATGCTGAAAGATGTCAAATAACACGAAACCTAGGTCCAAAGTTTCCTGTTGACTACCTCCAACCACCATCTTATCTCAACATAGCGCACGCAACATAAAGTCACCTAGACTAGTTGCCACATTACAACTTGATCGATAGAATTCTATCTGCACTAAGAAGGACCTGACACACTTAACATTGATCATCATCCAGTGATCAATCAATTTTGAATCTATAATTTGTATAGTTATAAACATTTATCATTTATTGTTGAAGCTTGAATAGGTTTAACATCATGTCCAATGTTTATCCGATTTCTATATTTTACAAAAAATCACATTCACACTTGTATGTAACATTTAGTAGACAGTCTAATTTAATCGAAACACATAAAAACCAGATTGAAGTCCAAATTTAATAAAAAATAAATATATGGATTGAGAAGGTGTGAAAATCAATGAAGAAATTTACTATGTTTTCTCAGATCATAAGCTGGATAAAATTGTAGTACATGGTTCTTTTGAAGGTGACGACTAAAGTAACCAGTTCAGATGTTCACAGATTCTTCAGTAAGATCCATACAGATAGATTTGTTTAATAGTAACAATGTAACTAATTTCTGTTGGTTGTAAGTAATTAGAAATATATAACTTTTACTATAATTGTATTAGGAAATCGAATTCATGGTTAATAGTTAGGCAGTAATTAACTGGAGAATACACCCCAAAGTCAAGATACATTAACAGTAGACCATAATACAATGAATCGTATTCATTTTCAATCTTAATAAGTCGCTGCTCAATTGCATATATATTTTAAAGAATGGTTTTGACCAAACAGTTGGATGAGCATATATCTGAATGAAATATATTCTTGATGATTTGACCAGCCCTAGTTAATTATTTTATTGATCAAACAAACATAGAGTCTTATTTGAATAAAGCTGAATTTTAGCTAATAGCCGACTGCTATTTAGGTCTCATCAGTTTGATGCATCTTTAACATATTGTTGATTTTCACAGTTAGAATCGAGTTCAATGGTCTTAGTTTCAAAAACCAAATCGTTACATATTGAATCCCTGAGCTTATACAGCCACTAACTTGTTCAAGGGGTATGCATTTATTTGTACTAGTTAGTATTTTCCGATTGTTCATTTCAAAGCCTACTGTGCATACACATAGACTGACCATTTGCAGTCCAACAATGGAAGAATACAAGCACATGCATCCATATATTTTTTTATAAACACATAATTATATATATATATATATATATATATATATATATATATATATATATATATATATATCCCAGTTATTCTGGGAAAATACCTTTAATCCTAATATCATGTCAAAATAAATATTAGCCATTCACATGATTTGTTCTTAATCATTTCCCTAGTCAAAATTAATTATTAAATTTATCTCAGTGTATGTTAACTAGATCTGAAGAATTTATGAAATTGTTAATTATAAACAAAGATGGATAGTGGCTAGCAGTGGAATCAAGGACACGCGTTTCGTCCTATTTGGGACTCGTCAGATGGATGTACCTGCATCTCAGAGTCGATGTTCACTCCGGGACTCGAACCTAGTATCATTCGCTTCAAACGCCATTGCGTTATCCATCTTTGCTTATAATGCTTGTGAGTTAAGGCTATATCGAGGCAATACGCACAGTATGCACATATGCCAATAAGAGACTGACCAGTTGCAGGCCTAAACACATCGATGGGAAGATCCAAACAAACAATACTAAGTGAATTCAATTGTCAATTATGTATAAAATTCTTTACTGAGATTTTCTTTTTTACTTATGTGTGTGATTGTTTATTAATTTAATTTCCAAAGCATGTTCATGTCATCCACTTGGTTCAACTGATACAACATGTAATCAAGCAACTGGTCAATGTAATTGTCGTACTGGTGTTGTTGGACGACAATGTTCAATGTGTCCAGATGGTAGTCAAGTGACAGAAAATGGTTGTAGTGTTAAAGGACAAAGTGAAGGTAACGAATAAACTGATTATTTAAACTGCTGTTACTAATGAAATTTAAAGATGACTATCTAAATCTTTTCATTTATTACTGACTTCCTACTTTCAATAAACTTTATAATTTGAAAGACAAAAAGTATTTTCATATGAGAACACAGATATGATCTTTAACAGAAGTTACTTCATAACAATAAGTCAATATTCCTTTTGTCAAATCCACTTTACATCCAATAAGCTATGCATACTACTTTAATAAATCGTTGATTGACTGAAGTTAGACTTTTACTCCATGACGAGTCCGTTCCCCCATGCAGGGATCATGTGTACAGGTTGCTGAAGCGTCTGATACCGGGACGAAACAACTATTCAGCACTTTATAAGCAGGGATGTATGGTGTTTAACTGTGGAATCCAGAATGTGCGTTTCGTTATATTTGTTTTCTAGCCACCATACATCTTTGCTTACAATGCTTATGACTTGAGGCAATATTTAGGCGATCCACACTGGATGCACATACCCCAATAAGAGGCTGACCAATTACAGTCCTAACCGTCAGTGGGAAGATTTAAACAACTAACACAAGACAGAATATCCAGCAAATTTTTAATTCTAAATCATTTTCTAATATGAACCGGTTCAAGATCTCCATAATGTACACTGATTATAATAATAATAATCCTAAACCTTTACTGCTTTCCTTACAAGCAGATATCAAGTTTGAAAGTAATGAACAACAACATTTACCAAAGGCAACTGAATTAAATCAAACTAACACATTGATTTCCCAATTACCTGTCAAACTAACAGCAGAAAATAACAAGGAGGAGGATGGACGATTATTCACCGAAACAACTACACTTCTTGTTCGTATACCATTTCATATCGATCAACCAACTGAAATACAATTAATTTTAAGTTTAGATAAAGGTAATGGAATGCTTTTACATTATCGTGCACCTCCAAGTGAACAGGAACAAATGATTTCACGTGATACACAAGATCATCAATTCAGTATGGCTATTTCTAACTGGAGAGTTGTGTTAAAGTGAGCTGGTTTATTTATATTTTATGCTTACACATGAACTACCTGATATATCTCACACATAATTCATTAATTCAGAAGGATAATACGATATTTCTAGATTAGTTTATCAGGTACATTAGGGTGATAATTCTAGGTGAGGGTAAAACTTACTTCCTGGATAGTGAAACTAACTGTATACTATCATGGAATGAACCTATCTTCTGGGAATGACGAATCCTTAAATACTACATTTAAGAGGAAATCAATTTTTCAAATTCACATTTTGATTCAAGACGAGCTTCGTTCATCGATTATCAATGGGTTCTCGTTAGTATCGATTTATTCAGTCTTAAGTCAGTTAAGTTATTTTAGGGCAATTTATTGCATTCAACAATTCAGTGTAATTCTGTGAAAAGTGATGATTACTTTGATGAATGTTGTGACAATTAATCATTGAATAATTTATATATTTTCATAGTTGAAATCATGAGTCGATAGAAGTTAGACCACCATGTAAAACCTGGAAGCACTGGACGGCCATTTTATCCTAGTATGGGACTCCTCAGTAGTGCGCATTCACGATCCCGCACTCGCGAGATTCGAACCCACGACCTACCAGTCTCGCGCCAGAGCACTTATCCATGAAAGTCTAGCTTCAATTGATTCATGATTTCAACTATGAAAATACTGAAGTATCCATAAAACCCTTTTTGATCTATAATTTATATATGTTTGAATTAAATCTGGTTGAATTAAATCTAAGTCTCTCGAAGATCATAGCCAACACATTTCTATATAAGACTTCTCTCTCTTTCATTGGCGAAACGTTGTGTATTAGTGTTTTAATTGTTCGTAATTCAGAAATGATATACCCAAACTTCATTCACAACAATATTAATGGATTAGATAGTTGTAGACTGATTTATTCTAACTTATAATATATCTTCGAAAGTGAGTAATGGTGGGGATTCTCATGTAAGAACGAAATAATTGTGTAGTGTTCATTCTGTCATTGTTTGTCCAACTTAAGTCAGTCTGTGATATAAATTACAAATGCAATAATATGTTAACAATTTTTAATATCACCACATTGTAACTATGTACATTCAGGGAGAGTTTTACTATTTTATATCACATATACAGTATATGTTCAAATAATCATCATTTGAACTTACTGTAACTGAAAGTAAGTTTTTGCTTGAAGGCGTATTCTTTATAGTCTTAAACATGTTTAAGGGTTCAGGATTGTCCGTTGCTGATATTCATCACTGTAATTGGTCGGTGTCTCTTGCCGCGCGTTGATCCTTTTCTGTTTTCCTAAATACATCGTTATGTCACAAGATTTAGTGTATTTAGCATGAGGGTTGTAGTGGAATTTATGACGAGCGTTTTGTTTTGTTTGGGAATTACCAGATTGATGTACTTTCATCTTAGTGTTGATACTCGATCCTAATACCTTCCTTTTTAAGCCCTCATCGTGTTATCCTCTAGAATACGGGTCAATATAGCCACTAACTTGTTCAAAAGGTATGAAAATGAGACGAAATGAACATCCTGGACTCCACTGGTGGCCATATACCAAATATACTAATTTTAAAATTAAATTAAAAAAGAAATTATTCTTCAGTTATAAATTTTTCCTTTATCTATTCATTTTCAGATACATTGATGGTAGTGTCCCAAATCGTATTCTACTAGTTTATAGTAAACATAATCTTACACGAAATACCAAGCATAACATTCAAGCGGGTATCATATCAGGTACACCATGGATAAAAATTGATAAGTTCAGTAGAACAACTAATCAAGATGTAATTGAGAAATGGGCTGATACTCATCAATCAGATAATCAACCTACAGCTGGTAGTCTTGAGACTATAATAATTGGACGACAAATCAAAATAGGTGGTCGAAGGTAATAAATATTACTAAATAAATATGAAATAATAATTTATTTTCTGTATCCTTACTGTCATTATCACCCCACTCTGACAGTTTTATTAATAAACGTTTTTTCAAAATTAAAACAGTATGATTTAATCGTGAAAGAATTTTCAACGAAAATTTTATCCCAAGTGAGTTAAGGCTTACAGTAACATGCTGAAAGCAAGAAGAACAATTTCCCAAATGCTAAAATTCAGTCATTTTACTTGTCGTAATGTGTTCTTTGGTCTTTTTCTTCTTCTTTGGCCTTCAGGATTCCATGTGAGGGTTTACCTTGCGATGCAGTTGGGTGATTACCTCAAAGCGTGTCCTATCTACTTCCAGCACTTCTTTCTGATTCCTTCCTCCACTGGAACCTGGTTTGTTGTCTTTCACAGTAGAATGATGCTCATAGTGTCTGGCCAACGGATCCGAAGTATCTTGCGTAGACAGCTGTTAATAAACACTTGTATCTTCTGGATGATGGCTTTCGTAGCTCTCCATGTTTCCGTCCGCTAAAGTAGAACTGTCTTTACATTTGTATTGAAAATTCTGATCTTGGTGTTGGTTGACAATTGTTTTGAGTCCCAGATGTACTTCAGTTGTAAATATGTTGCTCTTGCTTTGCCAATCCGCGTCTTCACATGTGCATCAAATCCACCGGTTGTACTATTTAGCTATTTAAATTAATACAGTTTGAATGGGTTTCAAAACCTTCACCTATCAACTTAAAACTTATTACTTAACTCTTAAATAGATAAGTTTGTTTATTTTAATAACCAAAAAAACAGTCCACAGAAAGATAATACAAACTATAACAATGCAAAACAAAAACACAACTAGAACTAAATTATACCACTCATAATCTTCTAAAATAAAATAAAATGTGAAAATTACTAATTATAATTGTATTCATTGTACTCACTGTTGAGAAACTCCATACTAAAACATAATAGTATTGTTTGTTTGAATTTTCTCATTGATGTTTAGGACTGCAACTCGTCAGTCTCTTATTGGCATATGTGCATACTGTGCGTATTGCCTCGGTATTGCCTTAATTCACAAGCATGTTAAGCAAAGATGGATAGTGGCTGGCAGTGGAATCCGGGAAGTGTGTTTCGTCCTATTTGGGACTCGTCAGCTGGATGTACCTGCATCTCAGAGTTGATATTCACTCTGGGACTCGAACCCAGTACCTTTCGCTTCAAACGCGATCGCGTTATCCTTTCAGCTGGTGCAAGCACATCCATCTGAGGAGTCGCAAATAGGACTAAACGCGTGTCCTAGACTCCACTGCTAGCCACAATCCATCTTTGCTTAAAACATAATAGTATTTCAACACTTTCTGACATTCAAAGGTTGTTTAACTTAAAGTTGACTTATAATGTAAACTGTGAAAATTCAACGGATAATGTTTTTTAAAACCCCTCAATCGATACTTTATTTAAATAAATAAATAAATTGATCGGTTAAGTGCTCTGGCACGAAACTGGTAGGTCCTGGGTTCGAATCTCTTGAGGTGTAATCGTAAATGCGTACTACTGAGGAGTCTCACAATACGATCAAACGGTCGTCCAGTGCTTCCAAGTTTTCCATGGTGATCTAGCTTCAATCGACTTATGATTTCAACTATATAAAAATTGATTTTATTTAACTATCTGAAAAAAAGTGATGTTTGTTTTAAATGATATGTGACTTGTTTGTTTTTTCTCTTTTTTTTTAATGAATAAAACTTTAATAGTAATGTCTCTTATTTTAAAAATATTTAGTTAATGTTAATGATTATGAATAAGTGTAACTATTCTATTGGTGGGAGGAAAAAAAGATGTTATTTTACCATTATTGATTGGAAGTGATAATGTGTAAAAAAGAAAGGTGAAATAATTACTGTTTACTATGGAAACTGTAAATAATACATAAATCAATAAGTTTTTATTACAATAACTTTTGTTCATGGGATTCACTGAATAATAGAGAAGCTGTTGGTGTAGAAATCCTTAAATAGATCTTGATTATTGGTCAAGACTGCTCTAGAACGTTGGCTCGACTTTATATTTATCTAATTGTTTAATGAAGTTGGTAATCAAGATTTTGTAAATCATCAGAAATGTCTTATTTGTAACTATCAAAAGAATCCTGATATTCCGCTTAAATATTTCTTCAATGTTAAAACAAAAAAAAACTGATATTAAGCCTTGAAAAACCAATATGCTTTCTAAATTCTTTATACTCTTACAAGTTTTATTAAATCTGCAAAAAAATACTTTCAACTTATAAAAATTCTTTCCCTTTAATTAACTAAAAGTGAACCTAAAATTATAAGGTCATTTTCTCGTTGTTGTTGCATATACACGATAGTTTAGCTATATCATTTGAGCCATTCTGGGCTAGAGAAACTACATAGCTGTTCTAACTGAAATAAGTAATTCAGTCTTTCACTCATTGATCTATTGGTTCAAATTAAATTACGATTATCTTTAAACACTGTTTCCAATGGTATACTCATATAATCCTCTATAACTGTATAATTGCGACCGCACCTGTGCTTTTGTATAAAGTTGCTTAATTAGGTTATATCATTTTCATCAGAAGGGAGTTTTGTGGAGATTTCAGTAATTTTATATTGTTGAGATCATGAGTCAACTGAAGCTAGAACCTGGAAGCACTGGACGGTCGTTTCGTTCTATTGTGAGACTTCTCGACAGTGCGCGAGGCGGGATCGAGTATGAGCACTACTGAGGAGTCACACAATAGGACGAAACGGTCGTCCAGTGCTTCCACGTTTTCCATGGTGGTCTAGCTTTGATTGACTCATGATCTCAACTATATGTCATTTTTACTCCCATTTATTCCTAAATAATAATGCCATTGTTAACATGAAAAGAAACGCAACTTTTTAGCCAATATATTTTAAGCTTTAACTTCCTTTAGCTACTAGATAGTTCACACATTCAACATTTTAATGAAATTTCACTTTAAAGAATGAGTTTAACGGCTTACATACAATTATTTAGATTCATAATGTAACCAACGATTTCAGCTTTAAATAATAACATTCTATTAACGCTGATTGGATGACCTATTCAGTGTACAATGAAACGAAGAACCATGTACCTATTTATATTCGATAATTTTGATGTTTGATTATAATTCCTTGAAAAAGCTTGGATCAGATTGCCAAGCAAAACGTTGAATTTACTACAAATTCATTCGCTGAGATTTTACAAATATATATTATTCTTATTTAATGTCTTACATCAAATCAGCGCCCGAATACTGTGAAACTATTCGCCCTAATTTAGACGAACGTTGTTATATATTTATTCTAATTGTTAAATAACTTGAGTATGTTATGCTATTTACAAAGTTCTCTATTTCAAATAAGTAACGTTTTAAGATTAAACACTTATTCAAATAACTAAAATTTCTAAGTAATATCAAGATTAGGCATTGTCGGAAATGTCACAAATTTTTTTTTCTATTTCAACGCGTACTATTCCCTTTTTGTAAAAACTTAAAAAAAATTGTATTTATTCCTCCATTTAGTTACATGTTGTACGTCAGTCATTTTCGCTATTCTTTCTACTAATTAAAAGAGATATTCTCGTTTACACTGCGCTATTCATCTTTATTTGGTTGCCAAGGTCTTATATATACATATATATATAATTGGTTTGAGATAGTATAACTTGTTTATATATATACTTGTCATATTCTTATTTTATATTATGATCTGAGTATAAGAAATAATCAAGAACTACTTATGGTTCAAAGCTAAGCTGTTGCATATCAAAAAAAATTGAGAGTCTATTTACTATTCAGAATTAAGTTGAATGCGTAAAATGTTTTCCTATTGTACATATATTTCTATCGTGCATGATGGACAAATATAGTTATCAGTTCTTTTCAAGCGTATCTGATGCAATAAGTATGTTGTTTAGCAATTAAAAATTGATTATGTGACAATAGATACGGTGTTTATACATGAAAGGTTATTTCCAATTCAATTCATCCAAGTTAGTGTTTCCAAAAATGTACATATGGTAACTATGTAATTTTAAATTCATTCAGTATTGTTTGTTTGAATCTTCTCATCGATTTGTTAGGACTGCAACTGGTCAGTCTCTAATTGGCATATGTGCATACTGTGCGTATTGCCTCAATATAGTCTTAATTCACAAGCATGGTAAGCAGAGATGGATAGTGACTAGCAGTGGAATCCAGGACGAGCGTTTGGTCCTATTTGGGACTCGTCAGCTGGATGTACCTGCATCTCAGAGTTGATGTCCACTCTGGGATTCAAACCCAGTGCTCTCGCTTCAAATGCCATCGCGTTATCCACTCGGCCACTGAGTCCTGATAGCCACTTGTAATGTAATTTTAACATTTTCATGGATAAAAGTCATTAACTCATTTAGAAATAAGTGAATCTAATTTGTCGTTGTACATGTTGATGTAAAGGAATAGAGTTATAGATGGATTCCTTAATCTATTATCAATGTTCTTTATTTATTTTTATGTAGTAATAAGCAGAATACTTAAGCAGAATATCATTAGTTGAGTGGCTGGAATCATAAACATTATGTCAGTCTAGGATTAGTCAATCAGAAAGGAGTTATAAGCAATGATTTAATCAAGAAGTGAGCTTGAAATATGAAACAAAAATAAGGTAATGTTAACGGTAGAAAATATTATTTAGTTAAGGGAAATACTCGAGGACTTCAGAATTTTCTTAGACAAGAGATTTATCAAAGAAGATATCAACGTTGGTATCTTTTATTGAATTTATATTTATACGCTACCTATACAAAGATAAAGAAACTAGATAAATAACCTTGGTAAAATACATGTAGATGATTAAGATAAAGTAACTATAGAAATATTGTTTCATCATCATTTGATTAGTGAACATTATTTACTTACTTATCCCTTTTACCTATTGTAGAGAAGCATAGACTGATCACCATCATTCTCCATCGAACTCTGTCCTCAGCAATCCTGTCCAGTTGTTTCTAGTCGCTATTCATCCTTTTATTGTTTGCTTCCATTTTCCGACGTAGCATATTTTTCGGCCATCCTCTTTACCGTTTCACTTCAGGATTCCATGTTAGCGCTTGTTTTGTGATGTAATTTGGTGATTTCCATAATGTGTTCTATTCAATTCCAATATCTTCTCCTATTCTCCTCTTTAGTTGTACTTTTTTGACGATGATTGTTTTAGTTTTCCACGTTTCAGCCAATTACAGTAGAACTGTCTTGACATTCGTATTGAAGATTCTCACTTTGATGTTGGTTGACAAACAGTTGTTTTGAGTTGCATATGTTGTTCAATTGTAGGAGTGCTTCCCTTCTTTTGCCAATCCTTGCCTTTACGTCTTCATTCTACCCTCCTTGTTCATCAGTGATGCTGCTACCGAGGTACGTAAAGGATCCCACTTCTTCCAGAGCTTCTCCATCAGGTGTGATTGGATCGGTGTTCTCCGTGTTGTATTTGAGGGTGTTGCTTTTTCCCTTGTGCATGTTGAAGCCTGCTGCTACACTAGTTGCCTTGACCTGAATTTGTTCGTGTGTATGGCATAGAAAAGCTAGGTCGTCTGTGAAGTCGAAATTGTCTAGTTGATTCTGAACAGTCCATTGTATTCCACGCATCCCCTCAGATATCGAGATCTTCATAATCCATTTAACCACCAGAAGAAAAAGAAGGGGTGAGAGTAAGCAGCCTCTTCTGACTCCGGTCCTTACTTGGAATGCACCTTTCAGCTGTCCTCCATACATGACTTTGCAGTATGGTCCGTCGTACGTATTCTGAATGATGGTGACGATCTTCTGACGTGCACCATAGTGTTGAGAAAGGTTCAATTATGTTTTGCTATTCACACTGTCAAACGCTTTCTCATTATCAAAAAAGTTGATTTAAGGCGATGAACCTCATTCAGTTGATTACTCAACGATAACACTAAATAACATTCATTGTAGTTCACTCCTTTTTTGTTTCGAATGATGTTTTGATGATCCTGGATCCATGAGATTCCCATCCTATAAGTGCATTTCGTGCTTCTTTGGAAATCATCAGAGCAACTCCCTGAGTGATTGGAGCATTTCGTTTTTGTGACCAGAGTACAGCAGCATCTCTCACGTACCTAACTTTTGCTTCCCAGCTTGTGTCCAATGGGTTTCGCTGATTCTAAGCACTGTCAAGTTGTATTTCCTGATTTCCGTAGCTATTTAACTGGTCCTTCTAGTCGTCCACATAGTCCAGATATTTCATGTACCTATATTAATCGTTGCTCTGGTTGTAAGAATAGGAATCGTTCTTATGACTTCCGAAGAATCTCGACTTTTTTCATGAGGAGTCATAATTCTTCCGAAAGAAGATCCTTCAACTCGGATGGCAGAATTTAAATGATTTCAATTGTTTATTCTGGTTAGCTGTTTTTAGCAAGGTTGTTTTCTACGGGATGGTGTTGCTGACTCCATGCCCAACCGTCCTCCTTTGTGTGGGCTTGAGATGGACGTTAATCCTAGAAGAGCTGCAGTAGTACCATCTTTTTTCTAGTAATCTCAGTTGAAATAATCAAGAAAATGCATTTCGAACTATATTGTCTACACTTAATTTATCTGAGGTAAGCTAAATAAGTGGAAATATAAAACAACACATATTGAGTAAATCAGTGAATGAATGAATGTGTGAGTGAGCAAGTGACTGAAACAATCACAAGCAAAAAAGTCAAATTTACATTGGAAAGAACTTAAATGAATGCTCCTGTTTCTATGACGACAATATTTATACATTTATAACTTAGTCTTATACGCTTACACTTTCCCTAGTTCTATTCTTATCAATATATGTACATATGTAAGTTATATAACATCTGCTATTAATTTTGTATGACAGTATTTCAGATGTGAAAGAACGTGCTGATCTTCATGATGATTATGGATTTTCTGGATGCCTAAATAAAATGATTATTAATGCTGGTTCACCAACGAAACATTTTAGTTTAGATCTTTTGGAAGCTATAAATACAAAATTAGCTTGGTTAGGAATTGAACCTAATCCATCCACAGGTCACAGTGAAGCACCATTATGTTCATCATCAATTAAGGCATTGTCATCACCAACAAATGATATATCTAATAGTGATGCCATTGAAAATATTCTGCCTTTACTACAATCAGATCAAGTTCAAAGACATGATAATATAATTAATCAAAACGTTCAAACAATATCTAGTCACATTCAAACTAAAAAATGTGAAAATTATGGAACTGAATCAATTGGATCAGATGGAAAATACACATGTATCTGTCAGCCTGGATGGCAAGGTGATGTTTGTGAACAAGGTAGGTATTTTTTTGCTGAAACTGTGATTTAACAAAAGTATGGAATGTGAATAATTGCATTCTGACTAGGCCATCTCAAGGTAAAATAGTCATTTTCAGATATAAAAATTATGGTTTCTTCTCCAAGAGAAGTCAGTCAGTCCGTTAGTGCATAAGCTCTTTGATCAGATGCTCTAATCAACCCAAGCTTCAAGATCCGAAAAACCATGTATCTTGGTAAATGTCCCCTCTTAATTTCAAACACTGTAACCAATGGGTAAATAAGTACTATTTGTCCTTATCGTGTTCAAGTGAACAAGAGATGAAGGCAATCCAAAGAATAACTCTCTGACGTCTGAAACGATTTGTCATGAATTTGGTTTTCTATGGTAATATATATATATATTTGATTGAAGAGTTGCAAGCAGAAACAAATAACCGGTAATAGTGTTGGTCAAACATTAGACGTAAAAGCTTAGGTTTTATAATGAGATGAAGCCTATGAAAACAATGTTATATGTTAGACCGATTCATTTGGAAGAAATTGACTACACATTATCATATTAAGATATTAACAATAATATCATAGAAAAACAGCTTCATTCACACTACTCTTAAGATAAAATATTAAAATTAGAGAATAACAGGAGTGAGAGCTGATCTTGAATACTTAGGGTGAGGTTGAATATGCATATAACTAAGGCTTCGATTAATCTAAGTATTCGTCTAAGACAAATGCTACAAAGCACTACAAAGATCAATTTTAGATCAATACTTACTTACTTACGCCTATTACCCTTCGTGGAGGATCATAGGCTGCCCACCAGTTCTAATGCCTATTTCAACAGTTTTTTTTTTAAAATTAACTATGTTCATTACCCCAGTTACTAATATTGACATTAGTGATAGCTTATTTCTTTATTACAAATGCAACTGTTATTAATTTGTTTAATCTTTTTTAAAATTTGATAGATATTACTCAATTTTTTGTCTTAATTTAGTGGTAACTATTATACCACAGTTTTCAGGGAATGGATTTATTCGTTTAGCTGGTCCAACTGGTAAATATGCAATAAAACGCAGAAAGTTACATATTGAATTAATTTTCTTAGTTACACAACCATCAGGTGAGAAAAATTCTTTATAATTCATTGTAAATTACCTGTAAAGAAAAAATGAAACAGCACCCCTGAAGAGTCCCATAATAGGACGAAACGGCCGTCCAGTGCTTTCAGGTTTTCCATGGTGGTCTAACTTCAATTGACTCATGATTTCAACTATATAAAATTACTAAAATCGCCTCAAAAATCCCCTTCTAATAACTTCATTTGTATCATTATTTTGAAGTTAGATCTATTACTAATACAATGGTATTCTCAGCTATCTTTATTTTGGTCACTGTCCGTTCTAGGATTTTCTTAATAGAGTGATTTCATAATTATAGACAGTTGTCATGAAGAAATGTAACTTAAGAATTTGAATATAAGCTTAATTGTTTGTTAATAACATATTCTCCTATAAATAATGAAGTAAATATGGTTTATTTCTGATGAGAGCATGAGTAAGTAGCATACCAAGACAATATAAATGTCCAGTTCTCCTTGTTTACAATGATTGTTCTGTATTCGATCACTGATGAAATTATAGGTGCTTACAGCTAAGAAATTCCATACCAAAAGAAACAGACAGTTAATGTCAATTGATTTTTTCACCAGTACCTTGACAGATGTCAATACTCATAGAATTTAAGAATTGACCGAGGAATAAAAAACAAGCTACTCAGTAAAGTATTAAATAACATCTACCATAATTAGGTTGGTATATTTGTTACTATTCAGTTGACTAAGCTTTCTATAGCAATTATCCTTATCAGAAAATGACTTGAGCACAGGGAAAAATTTAGTTTTGTTAAATGTCAAACGTATGTCAAACCGATTGTGTTTACTTAAACAATGAATTCAACTTTACAGTTTAAAATAATCCCTACTTTTTAAGGGTTTCAAACCAACCAACTGAGTGAAAATCATTTGAGATAATTTTTAAAGGGATCCTTTAAGTGTTGTAATGAGAAAATTTACTATTATAAACCTAGTCCTTACTGGGCTCCAGTCCCAGACTGAACATCAACTCCGAGATGCAGGTACATCCAGCTGACGAGTCCCAAATAGGACGAAACGCGCGTCGTGGATTCCACTGCTGGACACTATCCATCTTTACTTACAAATACAATTAGTTTAGAAGAACAAGCTTAATTTTATATGGATTGAATAAAATCAGATAATTTTTATCACTGAATTTTTTTACTCATCAGGAAACCTTGATTCATGAATTTCATCATGGAAAAGGTTATGACAGTGAATAATCTCAAACCAGAAATTATTTACTAACTTGTGTACTTTAATTTTTAGAATTTCTTCATCATTACACCAAATTTTACAAGAAAAGTAATTTGTAAATAAAGGTTTTATTGTGTACCCATTACTTGCTTACTGACTTACTTACTTACGCTTGTTACCCCTCGTCGAGGAGCATAGGTCTCACATCAGCATTCTCCATCCAACCCTGTCCTGGGCAATCCTTTCCAGCTTTTTCTAGTCAACATTCATCCTGTTCATATCTGCTTCTATTTCCCGGCGTAGTGTGTTCTTTGGCCTTCCTCTTTTCCGCTCCCCTTCCGGATTCCAAGTTAGGGATTGCCTCGTGATGCAGTTTGATGATTTCCTCAATGTATGTCCGATCCGCTTCCAACATCTTTTCCTAATTTCCTCTTCAGCTGGAAGCTGATTTGTCCTCTCCCATAAAACACTGTTGGTGATGGTATCCAGTCAATGAATGTTCAGTATAAATACTTGTACCTACTTGAAGATGGATGTAGTAGTTCTCCACGTTTCAGCTCCGTACAGTAGGACATTCCTGACGTTCATATTAAAGATTCTGACTTTGAAATTAGTAGAGAGTTGTTTTGAGTTCCATATGTTCTTCAATTGTAGAAATACAGTCCTTGTTTTGCCAATCCTTGCCTTCACATTTGCATCACATCCTCCTCCACCTCTTCCATATTTTCCCCATCAAGTGTGATTGGGTCGGTGTTGTATTTGATAATCCTGCTTTTTCCTTTGTGAATGTGGAGACCTATCGATGCGGAGGCTGATTCTACATTTGCGGTCTTCATCTGCATTTGTTCGTGTGCATGAGATAGGAGGGCTAGGTCATCTGCGAAGTCCAAATCATCTAATTGATTCTGAGATGTCCACTGTATTCCGTGTTTCCCCTCAGATATCGAAGTCTTCATAATCCAGTTAATCACCAGAAGAAAGAGGAAGGGGGAGAGTAGACAGTCTTGTCTGACTCTAGTCCTTACTGGAAATACATCTGTCAGCTGTCCTATATGCACAACTTTGCACTGTGGTCTATCGTATGAGTTCTGGATAATGTTGACAATCTTCTGAGGAACTCCATAGTGTCGAAGAAGTTTCGATAGTAATTCATATAAATGATTCAATCACTCACAGATCGTTTTATTCCAAATGTTTTTTTTTAAAAATGGGATTCTTACTATTTTATTTGGTATCTATATCTTTTAGTCAACTTTATAATTTTATTTTCTTAATTTTCTCAAGGTTTACTATTTTTCATACCACCTAAATCTCCTCATAATGGTCCATTTATAGCAGCTTATTTAGATGAACAAAATTATTTAAATGTTGTCTGTCGAACTGGTAAAGGAAAATTAGTCAATGAAAATCTTATCCAATTAAGATATAATGAACCAGTACAATTAAATCAATGGAATACTTTAATTATTGATAAATTGCAAAAAGTTCTTCGTGTTAAAGTGAATGGGAATAAAAGACAACGTGTATCACTTGTGAGTAATTTTTATCTTGGAAAAGAACTTCGTTGCTATTTTATTGAATCCTTTCTTTTCGTGTCACTGTGTAGGTACACTGTCACACTGTAGTGAACGTATATACATGCGGGGACGACCAAAATCACTTCTGTACAAACTCACAGAATCGCTCGGTAAAGTATGTGAACTATACATGGAACACTTTATTTGCGAAATTCCATCATTTGTGCTCCACACTCTGCATGATTCTCCCGAATCACAATTCCTTTCTATTTTTGCTTCTGTTTCCTCTTCAACTTGATCTTCTTAGCCTTCTACTGCCAGGTTTTCCACCTCCGATTGATGTTACATACTACTTATATCTGTCGATAAAAGTAGCATGCACCACAACACTACTTAATATCACTTTTGATCCGTTGTTTATTAATTTATTTATTTATCGACTAGTGGATTCAACTGTGAAAATACTACAATCTCCACAAGTCCCTATACTGATAAGAATTCATTTATTTGTTCACTTATGGTGCTTTATTCCAGACAATTACTCAGTATCATTTACTAATATTTCTTATCATCCTGACTGTATGTAATTTATTCAAACATGAAATAGTTCCCTGGCAACGTTATCAACTTGAGTACTTTAGCATTAGAGATTTTTTTTTAAAGTCTTGATTCACCTGTTATTACCTTGCTTACTTACTTGGTACATCCAGGATTTAAGCATTTTTGTTACATTTGAGATTTAGCTAAATAAAAATCAGCAAACCAAAAGAAAGTCAAAAGTTTATTGATCATTCCAGTCAACACTAATAAATGAGACAATGCACATGTATACCTTTTTTAACATGACCTTAAAAATCAGATTTTCAGGTTCCAAGTTAGGGAGGTCGGATTCCAAAGATATGTGTGCAGCTTAAAAATCCGAAATGTTAACTGTTATCAAACTCCCTGTTAACCAACATTTTTGAAAATCAGAAACCACCACTCTAACATATTACCATTTTTTATTTATCTGATTTGTATAATTTAGATCCCGTCACGATTTCTTCATATACAAAATCATCTTCTAAAAGAGGTACGTTGTTAAACTTACTGTATTTTGTATTATTAAACCAAATTATTTTTATACAAAATATTTTGACCCTTATAGTATATTGTAATGGGTACATATATTTTATCTTTCGACTGGCTCCATCAGGTATTTTCTGGAGTTCTAGTGAGAAGCAGTAAACAGTGGAGTTCAACCAGGTCTGTTGGAAGATATCAACTAACTGAAGACAATTGGAGAATGGTTGCTCAATTTGGTGCATTGGTTGAAGTTAGATATTAACACCATTGGATGTCGGTTCAGTGGTCTAGTGGTGAAGCGCTCGCGCGCAAGACTGATAGGTCCTGGGTTTGTGGATGTGCACTGCTGAGGAGTCCCACAATAGGACGAGATGGCCATCCAGTGCTTCCAAGTTTTCCATGGTGGTCAGGCTTCAGTTGACTCATTATATGAACTATATAAAATGCTTTGTATTTATTAGTCTATATATATAGAATAAGATTGGGTATATTAAATATAAAACCTAAACCTATTTTTGTGAGCACTCCCTACACTGACTTTTTCTGGTTAAGACTTCTGGAATGGTGTAGACTATGTTTTTGTAAAAGTTAAGAGATTTCTTCTAGTACTGAAATCTCAAAACTGGTTGATTTAAATTAGGAAACGTTTATTTTTTCTCTGAACAACTTCCAGTTTAGAAAATAGAGAGCCACTAAAAAAATATATCTAAACTAGAAAATTCTTCTCCATCCTAAGAGAGTTGTTCTCAAAATAGTTGGTTAATCCTTTTCATATCAATGATGGATGAAGACGTGGATAGGGGTTTATGTTCCTTGACTGTTGTTGTTATTGTTGTTGCATGTTGCATTGGTCCTTCTAAACCACATACTAGAATATAGTCATTTATATTTTTAAATATTAGATTGATGCCAAATATTATTGATTTCGAAAAAGGATAAATTAACTAACATTTGTCTACATGTTAACCAGATTTATCAATGAATATCAGACTGTAACGACAAATAATGCTCACTGTATGAAACAATACATTTGTAAATATTTATAGTCCTGTAAATTACACCTCAATACTGTACATAATTACGGTAGTACTGATGTAAGTGCTATGAATGACTACCCAATATATGTGAAATCATGTTGTAAATTCCCTTAGCAACCATAATCACTTACTTACTTACTTTCGCATGTTAATAATAATAATAATAATGTTGGTCTCAATGGAGCGTAGGCCGCCGACCAGCATTCTTTAACCAACTCTGTCCTCGGCCTTCCTTTCTAGTTCTTTCCAGTTTTCGTCCATTCTTCTTATGTCTGTCTTTATTTCTCAGCGTAATGTGTTTTTTGGTCTTCCTCTTCTCCTTTGGCCTACAGGATTCCATGTGAGAGCTTGTCTTGTGACGCAATTGGGTGATTTCCTCAAAGTGTGCCCTATCCACTTTCAGCACTTCTTCCTGATTTCTTCCTCCGCTGGAATCTGGTTTGTTGTCTCCCACAGTAGAATGTTGTTGATAGTGTCTTGCCAGCGGATCCGAAGTTCCTTGCGTAGACAACTGCTGATAAGCACTTGTATCTTCTAGACACTAACCAGAAGAAATTATTCAAACCATAATCATATTCTACTATTATTATTATTATTATTATTATTATTATTATTATTTTCGACTCGATCTATTTAGTTACAATATAAACTTTGTATTAATGAAGAAATGAGTTTATGCAACTATTTTGTCTAATATAATCAGAGATGCATGATGTCTAGTAGTGAAATCCAGGACGCACGTTTCGTCCTATTCTGCGACTCAATCAAACCCAGTATCGTTCGCTTCAAATCCGCACAGCATCCACATATGCTGATGTTGAAGAAGTTAAATCCCCAGAACTTACTTGAAAAATGGCCTAATTTTGTAATTTTATTTTGAAAATTTGATTTTCCTTGTTCTCGCGCCAAAAGCTCTCTTTTCACCTTCTAGTCGAATTTCCCACTTACAATGTATCTTAAACGCTATTAGCCCGTGGTATGTTTGAGTGTGCTATTTTGTAATGCTGCTCAAGGATAATTTATCGCTGTATATATACGTTTGAGTTTCTTCATCTTACGATTGTTTGTACTCGGTTCCTAACGGAATATATTTTCCCTACTTCACCTTCGACTTCTTCCTCTAGTTAGCGGGGCCTGGGACAACGGATTAGATTAGCCTATCGTGTCACTGTGTCATTGACCCACATTCGTTTACCAAGCATATAAGCTAATAAAAGATGAATTAATTCCACTCCTAAACATCAATAGGAAGATTCAAACAAACAATACAAAAATGAATTATTCTATTCAATTCTTAATACAATTATCATTTCATTTATTTGCTCAGATTATTATCTTCAAACAGTAATGATAATCTACCTATTTAAATAATCCTTGCATCTTTTAAAAAACATACATTAATACTTATTCTATTTTAGATGATAATCAGTATTAAAACTGTCCTTAAGTTTATTTTTTCTTTCTTTTTTGGAACAAACTCATAGCTTGGTAAGCAGAGATGGATAGTGGCTAGCAGTGGAATCCAGGACGCGCGTTTCGTCCTATTTGGGACTCGTCAGCTGGATGTAGCAAGTGGCTATCAGGACTCAGTGGCCGAGTGGATAACGCGATGGCGTTTGAAGCGAGGGTACTGGGTTCGAGTCCCAGAGTGAACATCAACTCTGAGATGCAGGTACATCCAGCTGACGAGTCCCAAATAGGACGAAACGCGCGTCCTGGATTCCACTGCTAGCCACTATCCATCTCTGCTTACCATGCTTGTGAATTAAGACTATATCGAGGCAATACGCACAGTATGCACATATGCCAATTAGAGACTGACCAGTTGCAGTCCTAAACACATCGATGGGAAGATCCAAACAAACAATACTAAGTGAATTCAAACTCATAGCTTGTTTGTCTAAATCGTTTTTCTTTCTCTTTTTTTTTTATTTATTCAAATTCCACTTTATCATTAAATTAATAGTCAGTTGATTTTTTTTTTTTCATTTCACTGATGGGTTATTTTTCTTTTTTTGGTTTTTTTTTTCTCATTAGTTGACTAATTTCGATTTATCTTCTAGTCCAATCTATCTTGGTGGTTATGGTTTTTATGATCAATCAATTTTAAATTATATACCTATTAGACATGGTTTCTATGGAGCAATTCAAAGAGTTAGTTTATTTTATTTAATCGATTGTTTTGAATACTAGTGGTCATCAGTAACCACATAATAATTATCAGTATTGGGTTGTAGAGATTGTTGAATTTTGATTGAGATCATGAACTGATCAATGTTAGACCACTATTGAAAACCTAGAAGCAGTGAAAGGCATTTCGTCCAGTGCTTTCGTACCAGTAATTCCAGGTTTTCAATGATCGTCGGTTCGTAATTTCAATCAAAGCTTAACAATCTTTTCAACCAAATACTGATAATTATCATGCAGTCACTAGTGACTAGATTCAAGAGGTGATTCTCGGAGTTTTACTGAGAAGCTGTGACCAATGTTGCAAATCCGTGTTGAGTATGAGGCAGTCACCCACCGAAGATAATGGAAGATGGTCGCGTAATATCGTGAATTAGTTGAAGTTAAACAATAACACTGTTGGACACCGGCTCAGTGATGTAGAGGTTAAGCGGCCGCTCATGAGGACGGGCGTCCTAAGTTCGAGTCCCACGTGCAAGATCGTGAATGCGCACTACTGAGGTGTCCCGTACTAGGATGAAACGGCCATCTAGTCATCCCAGGTTTTCAATGGTGGTCTAATATTGATCGATTCATGATCTCAATCAAAAAAAGATTTAGGTGATTCGAACTATTCTAAAAACTGAATAACTATGAATAAAATTACATCAAACAAAAGTGATTCATATGTGTACCAAACTTTTGAAGTTTAATCGATGTTATATTCTCACTACTAAAATCTCTTTAAGGAGTAAAGTGAAAAATCATACAAATTGATGAGTTTCCTTTAAGTATTAAAACATAACCCTGTCTCCTCATATTGCTTGTACTACCATTAAAGTCTTTTACTTAAAATCCTCTTTCTCTCTCTTTTGATAAAAAACAGACCACATAAAAGTACATTTCATTTCACTGAATCACTTATCATGATAACAAGTTAAACAGGTTTCACGTACTAATACTTTTACTGAGCACACCATCCAGGAAGCAATTAAAGATTCACAATTCAAAGATGTGATTCAGTTAACTTACTAATGATGAAACTACTGTTATTGTTTTATTTTCTAATAGATAATAAAGTTTAGTCCTAGTAGTCTTTAGGGTTTAAGAGCGATAAATATCAACAATGTATTACTGAACATTCGAATTTTATGAAATTAGGTTTTAATAGTTAGTATACAGTTCATAATTCATTAGTATTTTATCCAATTAATTATTAAGGGATAATCAAAGAATTTCTTCAAACAGTCAACTGATCGAGATAGACCATAGAGACTAACAAATCGGAAATAAGATAATCACCCATATTAAGTGCGTTAATAGCTTTAGATTGATGAACAGAAATCTGCTAACCACTCATCTAGGGAAAACAGTAGTGTGGAAAGAATTATATGAGAATCTTATTACTTCCGACTCGTATTCCATCTAAAATATAACTCTAATAAGAAGTTTTTCCTTCCATTTTATTTAAAGTAATCACTCAACTGAATTACATCATTACACACAGTGAGATTAATAGCCATTCTTGTGTCATACAAATTCTTGAAAACATTCGGATTTCTATTCGTACAGCACTTATATAAGTAGTAATCATACTGAAATTTGGCCGACTTTTAGCTAGTCTTCAAATAAATCTTTTTGCCAACTATGATACCTTCTTTACAAGAGTATCCGTACAACTAGAAACAAATCCAAACATGTATAATTTCCTTCTTGTGACCAGGATCTCTACTTATAATCATCATACACATTTAGATTTGATCGAATTTAATTAATAGACTCCTGATTTTAAAGCCTATATAATTAGTAGCTTAATGTGGAATTAAAATATCCATGGTCATCCTTTAAGGTAGTCATTCTAATGAAGCTCAACCCAGCACATTTTATGGATAAACTTGTTGTAGAACCAACCTAATATCTTGTTTCTGTTGATATTTACAGTTATTTCAAAATGTAAAAAAAATTTAATGGCTGAAGTCAGACCTTAACACCGTTGGATACCGGGTCAGTAGTCTAGTAATTAAGATTTTAAGCGAGATCGAGGGTTCTGGGTTCAAGTCCCACGTGCGGTATTGTGGTTGAACACTGCTAAGGAGTCCCACACTAAAACGAAACGGCTGTCCAGTGTTTCCACGTTCTTAACAGTGGTCCAACAATGAATGCTTAATGATTCAATGAAATCCGAATATCTTCACAACTCCATACTAAAAACTTACTGAGCTGTGTACTGTATAAACTGATATGTCTATCGGTCATTGTAATGAGTGAGTAAGTGTGGTGATCAATCTTGTTGTAAATAGTTGAGTCATTTTATATTAGACCAAACAGTTAATGAGATGGGACACGCAAACATGCGAACAACCACAAGTATACAAAGTGTACTTGAATAAAAACTCGTAAACAAGTATAGAATAATTAATAGGATTAAAATGACTCATTTAACTGTTATATGAGAATCCCACTTTAAACCTGTTTAAAATAACTTAAACTTACGTAGTATTATGGTGATTATGTTCCAGGCAAGTGATATGAGCCTGTTACATCAGTTTATTAGAATTCATCTTATGAACTGATTTCAATGTTGTTTTTTTCTTTTCTTTTTTTAATGAATCATAGATTAACATAAATGAAGCAGAAGTTGTACTAGCAGGTCCATCTCCTGCAGATATGATGAATACACCAGAGGAACAAGGTAAATTACCACATTTATTTGAAAAATGGGCAAATGTATCTCAATGGCAAGGTTTACCATGTGGTCCACAATATTCACCATGTCAATTGAATCAACCATATAGTATATGTCGTCCAAATATTCAACATGCTACATGTGCTTGTACAACACCATTACAATTGATGCATCTCATGAAAGGACGATTAGATGAAGAAACTGATGAAGTTGAACAACAAGCTTGTTTACAACGAAAAGTAAGTTGTTTATTTGGTAATTATTTTATAATATAAAAGAAGTTATTCAAATGTTAGAGATTTAAATAAAGTTTATGGTTATAACACATATTGTTTGTTTGGAACTACTGAACTGATCAGTACTCTTTCATAGATGATAACAACGTCGGTATACTTCATATTCAGATTTTCTGATACCTGTAGATAATCAATATTTATTTCAAGATTTGTTATCCCTACTAATCTCCGACCTCTAAGACATTATACTGTGTACTGGAGATATTTTCTTAGTTGGAAAATAGGACAATGAATACCTTATGACAAATCAATTCAATATACTTACTAATAAAATTATAGAGTATTAAATTGGTAATTCTTGGCTCACCAGCTTGTAGATGTGTTTTACATGTAAAATGATTCATAGGAACTATTTGTTACTCCACCAATTTTTCTTCATTGTATTCTTTTATTCTCTTTGCTCCTCGTAGTTCTGGTTTGATTTGTAGATTTTCTAGTTCTATGGAATTATTTGTAGGTCTTTTTGTGTAGGTTAGGTGTTCTTTGGCACGAGTCGTGATTTTACGAGAAGACTCTCCAATATAGAATGTATCACCTCTACACATACTAGTTTATGGATACTTTTAGCTTAAGATGAAAACTATAGTGTAATGCCGATTGAGCTGAACGATTTAGTTATCTTTCATCGTGTAACGGCGGTGTTTCAATGTGTCTCCACTCTTTTGAACAAAGTTTGTATGTAGTTCAACACATAAGTCATTGAGTTATTGCTATTATAATTGAGTATTTAATCGGCATAAATTTTTCTGTATCGGTTCTGATAATGAATACATCCAAGAACGATAATTTTTTGTCTGATTTCAATTATAATGTAAATTTTATCTCATTGAAGTTACTATTGATCAAGCTGTAAGTATATTTCAACTAATCCTTTTTGATGACGACTAATGCGTCTTCTGAATAGCACATCCCATTGTTTAATTTGATCATAAGTACGGTTAGAGCTTCCACCTTCTATTTTACTGGTTGTGTGATAAATTTAGATATCAATGATCTTATTGGGATTTCATTTAGCTCAAACAAAACGATACATACAAAAAATAAAATTCTTTTTTCGTCTATAAGTGAATCCATCGATTGTTGAGTTGACTGTATTTTGACTATTGATTAGTGATGAAATCCAGCACGAATTTGTAGTGTTATTTTTGACTTATTAACTAGACGTTACTGTGCACTGAAACATTTAGAATAAATAATGTCTTGTTAGAATCCTCTGCTTGAATCATCCAGAGAATGCATTTAGTAGGATCTTAGTTTAATGCACGATCGTGTGAGCATACTGGTTTCTAGATCGTAATCATTGTTACTTAATCGGATTAAAACGTTCAAATTTCTAAAATGCTGGGTCGCTTTTCCTTGATGTAAGTGTATCTTACTTTTTTTCTAATACCAGATGGAACTATCTAGGCTAAATTCGGCATTATCGTCCAGAAATGACGGTCAGTTACAATACGATGGTCCAAATCGTTCACCTTCCAGAGAAATATACAATGAACCAGATGAAGAACTACCACCAGTCGATCTAGCAAGACAGATTTTAATCAACTTCGGTGGTTTAACAGTTTATACATATCGTGGACTTATAAGATTCACGTAAGTATCTATTTTAAACATAGTCATGTATCATAACTCAACACCCAAGTAGGTAATTTTCTGACATTCGAAGAGATATTAGGAAAGAATAATAGAACAAGTTTATTAATATCACTAATCGACCTAAGTCAAATAATGTGTGATCTGCTCACTAGTAACTAGCGTCGAGGAGAAATCCGTGAGAATCCGTAACAACTGTGTGCGGTTTCAGGAAAGTTCAAACTGAAGACAATAGATGGGACTACAGTATGGAAAAGTTGTTGAAGCTGAACTTTTGTACCATTAAGTGCCAGTTAAGTGATCTGAAAGTTAGGCGTTTGAAGGCAAGATCGAAGGTCCTGACCTCGATCTCATACCTCGAACTCATACTAAGAAAAAACGGAGCTTCCATGTTCTCAACAACTAGATAACTTGCATCGTCTCGTGATTTCAATAAAATTCAACAATCTCCACAACCATCATACTGGTAAGAACTAATATGAATATAGACTTATATATTCCTGATGGGTAGTAGAGAAAATGATGGATTTCACTACCAGGATCGAACCAATATACATAAAGGTCTTTGTTTGAGCTTAAAGAATTTAACTGATTGATTCCGAAACTAACGATTCACATTACCCAATACAATCAGTTGTCACAATCGGTCGACCATCATTCAATATCATGAGTAAATAGCTGTCTTACTCTCAACATGATTAAATCCCACCAATCATAACTTCTTATGAGAACTTGGAGAATTATTGAAAGCAGCTGCATAACGGGAATCTGACCTAAAACTGACTATCTAGAGGAAAATTCTTAATTTCCTGGAGTTTAATCTTGTTGGATCAATGGGTATGTACTACTGAAGAACCCTCAAACTAACAGTAAACAATACCACAATATTTCATAAATCTATTATCTGGGTAGATAAATAATGATGAAATATAATAAAATCAAATATTGATAGGCTGTAGTGAACAAAATATGGGTGGGGAACAATCGAATGTATTGGGACTCAAATTACAGACTATCTCACTAAATTCTGATAACCATACAACAAAAAGTTAATTTGAAAAATAACAATCAATTGTATCAATCTTCACTGTTCCTTTTGCAAATATCACTTCATCTTCTCTAATTTCATTGTTCGTTCATTTTCCTACCGATTGCGCTTCATTTCAGTTCTTTTCTTATCGGTCTTCTGCCAAAATATATTCTATGTCTGACCATCACTATATACTACATACGTCCACATAAGTAGCCCACACCACAAGGCAACCTGAACAAGTATTTGATAAATAAAATAACTTTCACTTCCGAAATATTAAACGTAACAGAATATGTGCTCCGAAATCATGTACTACAACAGTTGTCATTCTATACAGACCATACATATTAGATGAGGTCAAAAGAATACTTAGCATATTCAATATTATGATATTCTTTAGGATGTCAGACGCATTACAAAGTGATTTACTTACTTACTTACGCCTGCTACCTCTCGTCGAGGAGCATTGACTACCCAGCAGTATTCTCCATTTAACCCTGTCTTGGGAAATCCTTTCCAGTTCTTTCCAGTCAACATTCATCCTGTTCATATCTGCTTCTATTTCCCGGTGTAATGTGTTCTTTGGTCTTCCTCTTTTCCGCTCCCCTTCCGGATTCCAAGTTAGGGCTTGCCTCGTGATGCAGTTTGATGATTTCCTCAATGTATGTCCGATCCACTTCCAACATCTTTCCCTAATTTCCTCTTCAGCTGGAAGCTGGTTTGTCCTCTCCCACAGTAGGTTGTTGCTGATAGTATCCGGCCAGTGAATGTTGAGTATTTTGCGATACAAAGTAATTTAGTCGATATAAAAGATAAAAGTACTGATGGATTTACTATCTAATTGTGTCTATAAAATAAAATGTTCAAACTATGACTCAACATTCATCAGAAAAGCTTCTTCAGGAATCAACGTGTTGTTTGTTCACTGAGAAATTCAATTTAACTTAAAGAACTTAGGAAATTTTCAGCCATAGATTTACACGCTGTACTAATAGGCCATAAGATTGACGTTGACAATATTAAAATCTTTCAGCAAAATTTTAAAAGTCATATAGAATGGCTCATGAACAGCTCACTTCATATTAAATAAAATTCAAATTGTCTGAAAAAGAATTAGAGGGGCGAGACTATAATTTATGACGAGTCTTAAATTTTGGCGAGAAATCCATTCATACATTTGCTTACATAGTGTTTTGGCATTATAGCTTATGTCAGTTCGTGATGAAAACCCTAGATCTAGTTTTTAACTCTAACCATCGACTGTAAATCATAATTCTAATTGATTTATAATCCTCATTTAGTCGTAATCAGTAGATGTCCATTCTCAAGTTTACTTCAGCACCGCTCAAACGTCTCACCATGAGAGGATAGGATAAAATTCGATTTGGCTTCAGTACGATCCTCTCACAGATCAACAATGTGGACATAAATGTGAGAAGAATTTCTCATCACATGTGTATCATGTGTCTGCTATCTATATTGATTTATTTCCCTAAAAATAAAGAATTATTCGTACAGATAAACTTTGACCAATTTACCATATATGTATGGTGAGATTTTTATAAATTCGTGTTCATTATTACTTTATCAAAGCTGTTTACATTGAATGATGAAATGTCAATATGAAATATAGTAACTCACTGAAGACAGTGGTGGATGTGTCGATCAATTTCGTGGATTGGTTGAAGTTAGACGTTAACACCATTTTATGCCGGCTCAGTGGTTTAGAGATTAGGCACTCGTGCGTGAGACCAATAGGTTCTGGATCCAAATCTCGCAAAGCGGGATCGTGGATACCCACTGTTGAGGAGTCCTACAGTACGACGAAATGGACGTCCAGTGATTCCAGGTTATCCATGGTGATCTAGCTTCAATTGTATTATTTTTACACTCTCTTTGAAAAGTATAAATTTCCGATGATAATAATGAATTACATTTCATGTTTTCAAATTTTCCTTATTCTTTCTGTATATATTATACTAAACAAGGTCAGATTTTAATATTCGTCTCCGTCTACGAACAAATGAAATGGATGGTATAATTTTATTAATGGTTGAACAAACTTCATTGAATCATCAACATGATCTATCATCCTCATCCTCGTCATCATCGATATTAAATCAACCTGTAACCCAAATTACAACTAATTCAGAATTTGTATTAATTTTATTACGTAATGGTCGTGTTGAATTGTTATTAAATTTAGTTACATCAAGAAAGAAGAAAGATAAATCATGGGATATAAATAATAATGAAAATGATAATCAAGAATATAATCGTCTTATGCCTATTCAAGCAAGACATAAAGTAAATGATGGTGAATGGCATATGATACAAGCTATGGGGTTAGAAAATAAAATACGTTACCTTTTATTAAATCATGTTACTTTTAATGTGCTAAGTGATGTTTATAATTAAACTGTATTTTGATGTGCTAAGTGGTTGGACCAACGTTTCATAATATTTCATACTTATCAGCAAGGTCTATTTTTAATCGTGTGACGACTGGTAATTCCTTTACTGTATAAATTCATGTCAATTTATATCAATGTCAGTGATGTTACCAATGAACTCTTCAAATAGTGTCTAACCTCTATTAAAGTTGAAATATTTACACATACATAATTACTGAAAAGATAAATAACAGCTGAAACAACTGATGTACAACTGATTTACATAAACTGACCATTTTTGTGTTATCTTCCTTCAATTCAAGAGTGTTATTAAGTACTGTACAGTATTTTGCATGGGTTTTCATCAAAGATTTCAATAAATTTGCAGTCAAGTTTCAGGTGTTGTAGATACTGTCAGCATCACACCACAAAAATGAAAAGGAAAGATAACATTGAAACTGCTTTCCGAATTTTCTCTGATCAATGTTTCAGTATCAAATTAGATCACGCTAAAACTATAGAATCTTCTATTTTGTAGGTATTTGTAGTTAAAAATTTAATCTAAACTTAATTTCACTGACTTAGTTTAACGGAAATTATGTGTGATATTCATTTTTATGTGCATCATTTCGTTTGTCCATTTTCACCGAAGAGGTAATGGTTCAATAGAACTGCCTAATATTCTTCAATACTTGGCATATATTGCATACATCCTGATCTCTTGATAAATTTTAATAAACCTAGAAGAACAAGATTTGCTGAATAACATCTATTAGTGATACTTTAAAGCTTGTTAACATATACAAGGCTTTGTCAGAAGCAGGTTTTGTGGAGATTTTAGTAATTTTATATGGTTGAAATCATGAGTCAATTGAAGCTAGACCACCATGGAAAACCTGGAAGCATTGGACGGCCGTTTCTTCCCCAGACTGATAGGCCCTGGATTTAAATCTCGCGAGGCGAGATCGTGGATGCGCACTTCTGAGGAGTCCTACAATAGGACTGATAAATAACTGTCATACGGAATCAAACTACGAAATAACTGAATCTATTCAAATCAACAAATTAGATACTGCCAACCACGTCCTGTGTAATAAATTGTACGGGAACATTAAGTTTCAATTTAGAGGAACTTTGAAGTAAATTAACTACCGTTCCCATAAAATTTAATGACACCCGCTGTTCACCCTGTAGCAGGGGGCGTATTGAAATTTATTCAGAAAATTTAAGCTACTAACTAAAGTAACAGTAGTACAACTAATCACAAGCAATGTGTTCACATGATATTATTTGATCTCTTTCATTCATATTACTTAAATTTTGTCTTCTCTTTACAGGAACAAACAACGAGCAACATTATTCGTTGACAATCATATGGTTTCTGGTGAATTTGCAGGTGTTGCAGATTATGATACTCCCCCGGTGAGAGATGTCTATCTCGGTGAGTCACTATTAATTTCTGCCTTAAAAAATAATTTGCTAATTCTTAGTTACACTATGAAATAGCCACAGATTACAGTTGGGGAAACTTGATATTTTGATATATAATTTCTGGCGTTTAACTACAGGAGCTCAAAAAATGTTTTATTCTTAGAAAAGTCATATATTCACATGAACATTTTTCCGGTTATCACTTCATAGATTTATTATTTTCATAGTTCGAACTACTTGTTATTGTAGATTCTATCATCATATGGTAGTAACTAACACCCAGGACTATATTCCAGAGATTCCTCACACTCTTCGGCATTCCTAACTAATTTCTTTTATTAAATTCATGTGTTCAATTCGATTCTGTACTATCCTGTAGTGTAGTTTAAGAAGTCAGCTATTAGAATATCTATCTCTTGAACTACTATTTCTAAATGGATAGATATTTCAGCACATGGTGACTAAATGTCTTGCTGTACTTGATGTGTTATGGTATTAAATAACTACCAATAATTAATTAATTAATTAATAACTAACTGAGTTTACTTTTTAATTAATTACTAAACTTCTCATCTGAACAAAATAAAATCGTTTTCTACATTTTAGTAAATTTCATAAATTACAGCATTCAATGGAGTATAAGCTAAAATCTAACTAATCAAACTATAAATGTAAACTTTGAAAACCTAGCAACGCTGGACTCCAATTTTTTGTTATTTAGCCTTCATCGGTAGTTTGCATCGACGTTCCTAAACATACTAGGGTATACAATCTTAAAAAGAATTTACAAAGCAAAACAAAATAGTCTCCTGTTGTTATAATGTATTAATGACAAGCTAATGTCTGAGATAAAGTATGATAAGCAAAAAGGATAGTGAAACCAAGAAAAGACATCAGTCTACGAAGTAACTGAATGTTTGTCTAATACTTAGAGAAACGAAAAACTCTCTTAGCTGGAATTCATATGACAGCTATAATGAGTGACTGGAAAACGTAGGTTATTAAGTTTCAAACTTTATCACAAAGGTCTAGGCATAAAGCGATGGACTTCTAATCAAGCTATTCACAATCTTAGTTACGTCTCAAATAAACTTGATAGAAATAGTTTAAGAGTAAATATCATCAAGCAACTTCGAACCGGTCCCAAATTTGTGATTGTCAATTTCTTTCTCCAACTATTTAATTTTATTTTGATCAGTCCATACTATTTTATGCGAGAAATCCATCTCACTTCATAATTATTATTTGTGAATACATTTGTCCTGAATGTTTGAATTTTCTCATTGATGTTATGAAATGAAATTTACCCGCCAGTAACTATTTGAATTCATTAGCTTAGTCGAGAACACGTTAGGCGTCTGAAGCTGAAGGTACTAGATTCGACTTCCTATATGACCATCAACACTAAAATCTAGGTACATTCAACTGAAGGATCCTAAAAAAGACAAAATGCTCATCCTAAATTCTAACGCAAGCTACTATTCAACTACGCTTATAAACATCACTTCTAAATTTTCTTCTTTTTCTTCTTTTTTTTCTTCCAATAGGTGGGACAATATTTAATATTGTTGGATTATCAGCTGATTATCAACAAAATTTTACTGGTTGTATTGCTGATATGCTTATTCAAGAAAAAATCATACCAATCTTATCAGAAGCAACAGAAATACATGGTCCTATTGAAAGATGTAAAACTCCATGAAATCACCATTATGAACGAACATATTCTATGGATCAGTTCAACAGAAGAGATCACAACTTAGATAATCAATTATTTAGGTTAAAATTATTTTATTTGTAAATGAAAATAAATCTACAAATATAAAAAATCCTTTATGTTGTATAGACTTATGCTTACGCTAAACATTTCAAATCAATGCCAACTCATAATATTTTTATTTATATCCTTACTTACTTACTTGCGCCTGTTACCCCTCGTGGAGGAGCATAGGCCACAAGCCAATTGTCTTCATCCAGAAAAAAAAATAATTCACTTATCCATGTTTGCTCAAATCTCAATGTTACGAGCCATGCATTGAACCCTTCATAACCCCTCCTGCTAATCAATTTCCAAACATCAAGTATCAAAAAAAATTAATGATTGTTTATTAATTTTGTTTGTTTGTTTTAAATGAAGTTACATTTTCAATATTTTGAGAGGATACAATTCAAACATACATACATACATATAACGAATTTGTTAAAATCATTCAATGTCATTCATTGTCATAGTGAATATAACGCACAATTAACTGTAATTGAATACTTGCACAATTAGATATTATTGTCCAATGACTAATTATTAATAAAACAGTTTACTTTATTATCATAATATATATCCTATTTTACATATTCATTGAATAGATTCTAATATCTTTGATATCATATTCATTATAATAACCATTAAAAAGAAGAATTTAATAGTCATATTGTTTTTGAAGGATTTTATGCAAAATATCAAAATATTGAATGAAAAAAAAAAGAAACTACTTATAAGTAATACATTTTGATGAACGTTCTAGGTGAATCAATTGAAGCTAAACCATCACGGAAAACCTGGAAGCATTGGACGGCCGTTTCGTTCTCATTTATTTTTATTTTATTTTATTTAAACATATAAATATTGGTACAAGGAAGCATCAGATAAATATGCTCCTCACAAATCTCATTCGATTTGTGTGAGGACTGTGATACTGCCAAGGTGCCCAAACTCAAGCAGGTGGTTTTATTAGGGGGCCACACCCCGAGCCTTTGACTTAAAGGTCTAGCCCACAAGGCAGTGGAGCGTCATGAAGAGATGCAGTCCCATGGTAGCCGGTGACCAACAATAGGTTCATACGCCATTTGTTTCATCAGGATACTGGAGCCCATATGCACCATTGGTTTGGAATCAGGGTTTTCCAACTCCCCTAAGTGGACCCTCCATGACCACCAACCCGGTTAAAGCGCCGTACATTCGCTTTTCTTCCTCTCACTTTCGTAAACAACACCCCCACGACGAGAAGGCAGTGAGTAGGACTTCCCTGGTAGAGGCTATATATTCGCGTGGCCATATGAGAGCATTTCGAGAAGGAGAGCGGACTCTCCTCACTCTCGGCCGTACCAGGGCATTTGGGGGCGTTTCGTTCTAATGTGGGATTTCAATTATAAAATTATTAAAATTTCCACAAAATCCCCTTCTGATAATAAGCATATGCTCACTAGTGACTGGCTGAAGTTTTAGTGAGAAGTGACCAGTGGAGTTCAATCGGGTCTGATGTGAAATAGCAACTCACTGAAGACATTGATGGATGGTTGCTCGATTTCGTGGATTAGTTGAAGTAAGACAATAAAACCGTTGGATGCCGGCCGGCTAAGTGGTTCTAAACATTAAGCGTTCGCACGCGAGACTGATAGGTCCTGAGTTCGAATCTCGTGAGGCGGGATCGTGGATGCGCATTGCTGAGGAGTCCATTGCTTCCAGGTTTTTTATGATGATCTACTTCAATTGATTCATGATTTCAACCATAAAATTACTAAAATCTCCACAAAATCCCCTTCTGATAAATCTTTGACTCCATAACGTTAGTTTGGATTAGAAAAGTTGGGTTTAAGAATTTTAAGAGCAGTCCTGTTCTCCACTTGTGGAACCTAACTTCTTCTGACAAAGGATTTTTTATTTACTCATGTTAGGTCTTTGTTGTTTCAAATGATTTCCCACAACCGGTGGTAACACGGTTAAGCACATCAGAGTATAGTGATTTTTCTATGAGTGTAATCAACCTGAAGTGCCAATTCAGTTGTATTTTACGAATATTAACCCAGTGGATCCCGTGTCTCAGACTATTTTTGATACAGTGGGAAAAAGGATAAACAGTCACTTCGTAACACCGCCTGGTGGAGAGGACAACAGCCATATTGTATTATTACTCACTGATCTATCAAGACTCTCTTGGTAGGGTCCTAAAGCTTACGCTACTGAAACTTGAAATATATTGTGAGACATTGCTCTTAATGCGAGCCAGTAGAGATTGTCGTGTATTTATTTTATTTATTTATTTATTTAAACACATATATATTGGTACAAAAGGGCACCAGATACATATGCGCCACACAAAATAATGAAAGTAGGAAGAGAAGGGATGAAAAGATAAGGCGGACTAAAATGTACAACCAGAAGAGCTCTCTCATTTAAGAAAGTTATAGCCACTATTTATGAAGAAAGTAAAAGAAGGTTGCAGCAGGATCGCCACTGGCTTCTATTCTCAGCCATATCTGATAACGTCTCTAGCCACTGTGTTGCACCATCTCTCGGACCCCAACCAAGGAGTCGTGAAGGACCAACAGAAGCTAGCCCTTTGCAGCTCTCTTTCATGCCACGACACCATGTCATACACTGACCTCCTCTCCGCTTTCTCCAACCAGTCCCAGGGTCGGCAAATAATGCACGACGTGGAATTCTCTGGGAAGACATTCGTAAAACACGTCCAAGCCACCGAAGTCGGTGTTTCAAGATGGTGACACCAATTGAATTATCGTCTCTGTGCCCGAACACACGATGCCGAACCTCTGCATTACTAACATGGTGTTGCCACTGTATGTCAGCAATCCTTGGGAGACAACGATGATCGAACACAGAGAGACGTCTAACATCCTCAACTCGGAGAGGCCAGGTTTCACAAGCATAGAGCAAAACTGCTCTCACCGACGCGTTGTAAATCCGACTTTTTACAGCCAGACTAACATCACGAAGGCGCCAAAGATGGCCCAGATTGGCATAAGCCGCTCTGGCTTTCCTTATACGTGCATCAATCTCATCACTCACACCACCACCAGCACTTATATAGCTACCTAGATACACGAACTTCTCAACTACTTCGATCTGCTCACCATCCAGGGTGAGTACAGGATTAGAATCCTGCCAGTCTTGTAGAAGTACTTTGCACTTGGAGGGTGCAAAGCACATGCCGTACCTGCGGACACTGATTGCCAACTGATTAAGTGCTGATTGCATGCCTTGGGCATTATCGCACAGTAAGACAATATCATCTGTATACTCAAGGTCGAGAAGTCGTTCTCCAGGCAACATATCCACACCGCCATTACTTACATCCATCAGAGCTGTTTCCAGAATGTCGTCGATGGCAAAGTTGAAGAGGAATGGTGAGATCGGGCAACCCTGCCTAACCCCACTGCTCGAATGGAACAAGGGAGAAAGGTGGTTGTATGCTCTCACTCTGCCTGAGGTGTTCGTATACAGGGCCTTTAAGATGTTAATGAACTTCTCAAGCAAACCCTTCTTCAATAGACAATCCCAGAGAACAGTCCTGTCCAACGAATCGAAGGCAGCCCTGATATCAAGAAACACTACGATTGTTGGCCTGCGATAAGTATGACGGTGTTCTAACATTTGGCGGAGTGTGAAGATGTGATCAATGCATCCTCGACCAGAACGAAAACCAGCCTGCTCCTCGCGAGTCAATCGTTCTCGGGTTTTAAACAACCTACGAAGAATGATAGAAGCCAATAGTTTGGACGCAATCGGAAGTAGACTTATCCCCCGATAGTTATTGCAGGAACAACGCGAACCCTTTTTAAAGATAGGGACGACTATTGACTCATTCCATGATGTTGGAACACTTTCTTGCTCCCAAACCTTTCCAAACAACACAGTCAATTCCTTAGTCAGAAAGTCGCCACCATCTTTAAAAAGAGCCGGAGGTAAGTCATCTGGGCCCGGTGATTTTTAACGTTTCAAGAGTTGGAGTTCCTTGCGGACTTCCGCCTCGTTTGGTGGATCAGTCGTCACCGGCCATGGGGGGCAGGACAAGCTGGTTGATGTTGCCGGAGCAGCAGGCCAGTTGAACTGCCCTTCGAAAAATTCCGCCCATCGTCCAAGACGTCGAGGCTTGAGATGCAGTGGGATGACGCCAGGTGGCACATCGGCGATGACTGTGCCGGAAGTTAGTGCTGGCCAGAAACAGGTTGTGGTCTGTGCACAGTTGCAGCAAACGGTCCCCGTTATCTGTCCTGCGACCAACAAGTCCCCATCGGCCACCTAAACGACTCTCTTCTGTGCCTAGACGCCCGACCTGTGCATTCAAGTCTCCGGCTAGTACTACAATATCTGTCGAACGCGCTTTCTGGAGAAGAACTGTTAACTGATGGTAAAACTCATCCTTGATTGCATCCGGGCTGCAATCTGTCGGGGCATAGGCGGAGATGACGAAAAGACACCGTTTCTCACGCCGGTTTCTTCTCACTTTGATGGAACTTTCTAATCTAACAGCACATAACCGACTGTTAATGGGGAACCAATCGATTAGTACTGCCTCAGCCCTAGCGCTTAGTGCGATACCAACGCCAGCAAGACCAGACGAAGATGCCACAGGGTCCCCGGATAAGAGCACGTGGAACAAGCTTTTCGAGGAGACAGATGGAGAGCGGATTTGTAGTACTTCACTAGAGTCTTGAATACGGGTCTCGGATAGACAGCAAACATCAACATTAAGAACTTCCAAAGACATAGCCAGCCCTATCTGTTGTCTGATCTGCATTAGTGTGCGAACGTTGAAGGAAGCCAGCTTGAACGGCGTACGTGGTTTCAGAAAGACTGCCTCAGTATTCATTATCGGTGGAAACATTCACTTTCAACCAGACAGTGACTGGAGATCGTTTAGATAGGACAGATTTTCCACCAAGAGCGAGCTGATGCATAAGTTGAAGAGTAAGGTTACACAAATTGGGGGTAAAAGGGGGTGAATTAGCGATATGGTAAGTAATAATAATAATAATAACGTAAATTGTCTTGCTTATAATATGAGCAGGAATAGAATCGTCAATAGAGTTCGTCATTTCATTCATTTGTGTGTGGGCTGTGATACTGCCCGGGTGCCCAAACCGAAGCAGGTGGTTTTCTTAGGGGGCCACACCCGGAGCCTTTGACCTAAAGGTCTGATCCACAAGGCAGTGGAGCATCGTGAGGAGATGCAGTCCCATGGTAGTCGTTGACCAATGACAGGTTCTTCCGCCATTCGTTCCATCAGGAAACTGGAGCCCATGTGCACCATTGGTTTGGAATCAGGGTTTTCCAACTCCCCTAGGTGGACCCTCCGTGTCGTGTAGCTTTCTGCTGTAGCCTTCATAAATTATCAGATACGTCTACGAAGTGGATGAAGTATATTTCGATTGCGTTCCTTCTTACTCTAACTGAATTGTTTGGTATATAATATCTTTGTTTTCGTGTATTTATTGTGATCAACCCTATCCAAACTCTTCAAAACATTATCATTTGACCATGTGTAGCTAACTTGTCTGTCCCATTTTACACTGTTTCTTTTCAGTGTTATAATAACTCATTGGTTCTAGATCCATAGGACAATGAAAAGGTAAAAATCGCCGCATGTTAGCAAACAACAGTTGTCTGGATTGAATGCTCAAGATCTTATCAGAAATGACTCGAAATTGAAGTGATTAATGACCACATCTAAATTTCTTTGTATATCCTTAATGAATGAGCCATGTTAGTGAGAGGAAACACATCTACCTAATTCTGTTCCTAATCTTACTGTATCTTTTAATATTCTTGTACTTATCATTACATAATTCTGGATCAACTGTATCTTTACAAGACTCATACACTTCTGACCGCTAAAATAGATAAGGCTATATCGAGATTGTTAAATGTTCATATTTTACTTAACAGGATAATCTTAGACAACACAGAAGCACTAGATAGCTATTTCGTCCTAGCATAGACCCCCCCCTTAGAAATGCGCATCCCTAACCCTAACACTGAAGGGTCGAACCCAGGACCTTCAGTTACGTGTGATAACGCTTAATCTCATGACCACTGAGTTGGAATTCAATGGTATACACAATGTCTGGTCTTAATTAATCTTTCTTATTTTCAATAAATAGTATCTAAACCCAAGATGTTTGCCTACAAATAAAGGAACCATAGAAACAGGAGCCTAGTTATCACAAGGGAGGAGTACGCAGTTTGACCAAAGAGAAAATCTTTCTGAAATTTCCATCCAAAGAAAAAATATACATTATTGAGAAGATATATATATACATACAATTGAAGGTTGTTACGTGGAAACAATGAGAAATTACAAAAAAAAATACAAGCTCAGATATTAAACTGATGATTACTGTCATTGATCTTTTCTTCTCTAAATGAATAAATATTAATTGACAAACAGTAAAATGTTTCCTATTCGTACATGTTTACATGTATGAGTTTGATTTAACCATCTCTATTTCTTTTTTCTGAAATGCGAGTAACAATAACAACGTCTAATGTTATTAGTTACATATTCGGTTTGTATAATTCTGTTAATTATTAGAAACATTCATATTGGAAGCTGTTATATTACTAGTAACAATAATACTGGTTGATGTAGAAAGATTAACATTATTATTATTATTATTATTATTATTATTATTATTATTACTGATAATAGTTGAAACAGTAGGATTATTCGCTGGAGCACTACTACTAACACTACTGAAAATGACGGTCCCATGATTAGTTGTTGGATTAGAAACTGGATTGCTGACAATAAGTTGGGTAGATGAAGTATTAACAGCAGTAGTAGTAACAGTGGTGGCAGTAGTAGTAGTACTGGTAATTGACATTATATTCGTATTTACATTATTACTATTATTGGTAGTAGCAGTAGTATTAGTGTTGGTAATAGTATTAGTATTGCTTTGATTCATAACAAAAAGGCATTCAGCCATACATTCATATGAGGCGCGATAATCTTCCAGTGTAACACCAAGTCCTTGACGTATACGCCAATCATTGAGTAATGGAGCAATACGATTCTGTGGGTAGAAACCAAAGTGAAGAGAAAACTTTAACAGAGAGAGAAATTTTAACGAGAAAAATTTAATGAGATCAAGTGAGTGGTTTCGAAATCGATTCTCAGTGTTCTAATGACAAGTTATAACTGGTGAAGTTCAACTATATGAAGAGTGAGATCAACAGTATCACTGATAGTATTGGATATTTATATCGCTGTACGGAGAGTTGACTAGAATTGAAAGTGTGGACTGTTTGATTTCAATTAAGTGGTCTAAAGATAGTGCTCATGTCTTTCAACCTTAAAATCCTAAGGAATATTCAATCCTTGGTGAGGTCGTGAGGGTACATTGTTGAGTTTCAGGCTAGAACATAATCCTTATCCAATACGCTGACTATCCGCAACCTTTTTAATAGCCAACAAGTCTCGTATGCCCTGCGCTTTTAGTCACTTTTACATCTACTTGATATATAATTGATGCATATTAAAGTGCAGTTTTCACTGAAGACTTTATTTCAAGCATTTGTGATTATCCACAACTGTTTAGTACTATAAGCAACTTTTGACAGTGGGATTCTATCTGGATATCAGGTGTTATCTCGAGAAGAGTTCATGATGTGAGAAACGAAGCAAACGACTATAGGAATCGTCAATGTCCGATCCACCTTATGTTATCTTATTGATACATTTAGTTTGAAATCAGTGATGGTTAATTGGCTAAGGTGTTCGACTTTCAACCACTAAGTTCCAAGTCCAAACCTCATACCACCTACTTTGACTTGGCTAGCTCTGGATAGGAGTAGTACTATTAGTCCTCAGACTTAGTGTTCTATACCCAAGTGCCTGGCGAATAAGTTAATTTAAATGTTAAATTACGAAGAAAATTATCAAGAAAATGTTACCTACATATCAAGTAATTAACATGCCAGTGTAGCATAGATGAAACGTTAGATGAAAAACATACAATAAAAGTTTGTGATTAAAATAAAATCTCTACTGAAAATGACACTAAAATATGTAGTATTTAACCAATAAATAAACCCGAAAATGACTGAAAGTGTTGCGTTCAAAAAAACGTATTGAACATTGAAAATGTTGCGAATCACTTGAGCTGTTCAATAACTCTAGGTCTTAAATGACTTTTCAGTCTGTAAACTTTCTATGTTTTTCATTATTTAATGAAACATTTACGATTTTCAAAATAACCCCATAACTTAATGAGCACACTTTCACTTTTGTTTACTAACATTTACACGAATATCTCTTCATATAATTGGGATTACATTAAATCTATCCAATAGTGAATTTTGAATTGAAGATATTTTAAAACAAAGTTACTTAAATATGCGGTTAATTCTTATTATTAATTATAAAATGAATTTCCCATAATCATTATGTTAGGAAGTTTGTGAAACATGCAAATTAAGAGTAGACAATATTCGTCAGTTACTCGTATTTGACCACAGATGCCTTAGAAATATTACTCGCATCTGCTGGGATCACCGGGTAAGTAATAATGATGTTAGACGCAGGGTATTAGGGAACGATGGTAAATCAGTAGATGAGGTGATGAATCTTCATCGACTGAGATGGTTGGGCTACGTATTGCGTATGCCTGAACACTGATTATCGCGACGCGCAATGCTGACTAGTGTAGGGGATGGTTGGAAGAGAGTTAGGGGCGGCCAAACCAAAACATGGCATCAGTGTTTGAAGTCACTAACTTCTAGTGTGCTGGCAGATGCAGACTACTTGGTTGAGATCGGCGTGACTATTGTAAACAATGGTTGGAGACTGTGTGTGACATGGCTCAGAATCGATCACAATGGCGTAGGTGCATACACTCTCTATGTTCCCTTAAACCTTGAGATTAAAATTGCTTCATAACATTTTTCCTTCCTATACTATATCCTTATATACAACCTATATTTTATATGTCATCACCACTAAATTAACTGCTTCTATGAATCCGACGTTCATCTTGTTGTGCTAACGAGGTATGACAACTTGGACCGATACATATATGTGCCTGGTCCTACACTGTAGCTGACTGACTGACTGGAAGTTTGTAATTTTATTAATAAAACAAATGAAACAGAGTATTCTTGGATATTTAACGCTTAAAAATTAAGAGTCATTTAAAATTTAATAACTCGAATTTTAGCTGAATCTTAAGTTTTATTTTACTTTAATGATTGTCATTCAGTCATAGTCAATGTAAAGACCAGCACAAATCTGTGTCGACCGAAGCTGTCATACTATATTAGTCAGACCAAACGAGATAAACAAGATGAATAGCAAAGGAATCAAAATAATATAGTAGAAAGAATAACAAGAAAAACTATGCACTGAGAAAACACAATGTGGAAAGATATTTATGAAACAATACTGGAACCGAAGGTCAAGAGGAAGATAAATAGTTCATATATTCGCACTACTGTGACCGATTCTAAGTAATATTATCTAAATTCTTCAACTACTGATTGCTGCAATTGCGTGGACCCCAAAAAGTAGACTACATCTAACAACATGGCTCATATCAATCATCCACAGCTTCATGAACTGATGCCATGTTTTAGTTGGGGCACTCTTAACATCTTTTCAACTTACTCCTGAACCATCTAACATCATTCATTGAGGTAGATGATAATTAGGCACAAGTAGCATACATCTTAGCCACTTTAGTCGATGGTAATTCAAAATCAACCAATTGATCATTTTTGCCAAGTATCTCCTATGGTCTAACCTCAAAATCATTATATTTAAAAATTGATTGCATTTAGTATATAATAACAATTTCGAAGATAAACTATATATAAGAACAAACTAACCGTCATCATAACTTTAAGAAAATCAAATGAACGTTGATCAACTGGTAAAAGTTTTACGCCCAAACTTAACGAAAGTACTGGATGTTGTTGTTGTTGTGTAGGCTTTAAATCATTACTATCTGAAGTATTTAATTCATTTAATTCATTTATTGTATGACTTGATTCTGTTAATTTAGTTAAACGATGACATAACGAAGACAATAATGGAAATACCATCATTCGTAAACATTGTGCACCGAATTCAGCTAATGCAACAATTATACCATATAATGTATTCATTGAATGTATAGCACTACCTAAACTAGGTCCATTGTTATTATTAGTATTATTATTACCAGTTGCAGTATTGATACTACTACTATTATTAGTAGTAGTAGTAGTAGTGGTAATAGTAGATATTGGTGTATTTGTAAGTGAACTGGTTAAACGATCACTTTCATATTTACATAATTTCGTTTCATCTGACTTTTCATCATAGGCATATTTTGATAGTTCACTTTTAACAATTACTGGTACATTAGGATTTGATAATTTTATACAATTTTCTGTAGAACTATTAGAAGTACTACCACCATCAATCCAACTGCATAAAGCACGTGAAAGTTCACGGGTAACACGACCGTATAATTCATTACTAGAAGTATTATGCCTGCATAATTAACATATTAAATAGACAGAAAAAAAAACAATACATCGCAAATAGTAATCGTTTTTTATTATTATCATTATTATTATTATTATACTCATTTAAAACATGAGTTAAGAAAACAAATAAGTCATAACAGTCAAATATTCCTAGACCATCCCGAGCACAATAGAAAAAAAGCCTAATGCTTTCCCACTCTTGACTTGACTGATGCCCATCCTGATTTCTTCCGTCGTTGGTGGAGTGACATATATGACATCGATGTCCAGTGGATTCAATGGGACTGGTTTATTCAAGAGTTCCTTGAAGTGTTCCACCCATCTGTTCCTCTGTCCTTGAATTTCAAGAATGGCTTGCCTTTTTTGTCCTGGACTAGTCCTTCTGATTTACTACATTTCCTTTCCAGTCTCTTCGTCTTGTCATATAGTTGTTTCATATTTCCTTATATTGCAGCTCTTCCCGCTGTTGTTGCTTGCTCTTCCATGTATTTCTGCTTGTCAGCCCTAATCCTCTTCACTTCCTTGTTGGCTTCTGCATTCAGCTAGTCCCTTGACTTTCTCTGTTCTTGTTCGGCTGTTATTAACTGCTGTCTTTTTGATCTTCCTTTCTTGTGTCTTGTCCAAGGTTTCCATAGAGATCCATTCCTTACGATGATGTTTGTTGTGGCCCAGTACCTCCAGACACGTTGAAGTAAGTGCTTTTTCGATCCCTTTCCAGTTTTCCCCCATAGTAGTTTCTTCTTCGATTAGATGTTGTAATGTTTGGAACCTGTTGTTGGGAGTTATCTTGAATTCTTTGAGTTTGTCAACATGTGGAAGGAGGACAGTATTGAACATTTTTAATGCTGTTTGCCGAGTTGTCTAGTGCCTCTTTAGCTTCAGCTTCATCTTGGCGACCATCGGTTGGTGGTGATCTGAACTCATGTGTGCTCCTCTCCTAGTTTTCACGTCTTCCATTGTCCTTTGGAATATTTTGTTGACACAAATATGATCTATCTGGTTCTCTGTGGTGTGGTCCGGTGAGATCCATGTAGCTTTGTGTATGAGTTTGTGTGGAAATATTGTGCCACCTATAACCATTTTGTTGAACGCACATATATTTGCAAATCTCTTCCCATTTTCGTTTCTCTCTCCAAGTTCATGTCGTCCGATGATATCTTCATAACCGTTGTTGTCCGTTCCGAATTTGGCATTTAGGTCTCCAGTCAGGTTGGTCAGGTCCTTTCATGGGCACTTCACTATGATCAATTTCAGCCACGGTTAGAACTGATCTTTGTTGTCGTTGTCTCTATCATTGGTGGGTGCACAACATTGGATAACAGTCATTGTGACCCCGTCCTTCTTTGTTTTGAATGATGTTTTGATGATCCTGTATCCATGAGATTCCCAACCTATAAATGCATTTCGTGCTTTTTTCGGAAATCATCAGAGCAACTCCCTGAGTGTTTGGAGCATTTCGTTTTTGTGACCAGAGTACAGAATCATCTCTCACGTACCTAACTTTTGCTTCCTAGCTTGCGTCCAATGGGTTTCGCTGATTCCGAGCACTGTCAAGTTGTATTTCCTGATTTCCGTAGCTATTTAACTGGTCCTTCTAGTCGTCCACATTGTCCAAATACTTCATGTACCTATATTAATTGATGCTCTGGTTGTTAGAAGGGGAATCGTCCTCATGACTTCCGAAGAATCTCGACTTTTTTCATGAGGCGTCATAATTCTTTTGAAAGAATTTTCTTCAACTCGGATGGCAGAGTTTAAATTATATTAATTGTTTATTCTGGTTAGTTGTTTTTAGCAAGGTTGTTTTCTACGGGATGGTGTTGCTGACTCCATGCCCAACCGTCCTCCTTTGAGTGGGCTTGAGATCGACAGTAATCCTAGAAGAGACACAGACGGAGTTCTCTGAAGAAATGGCTTACACTAATTCATGAAACATCAAGAATCTAATTTTCTACTGATGTGACCTAACAAATACATCACAATTTCTATAACTGACAATCTGTCCAAATGCGCAATTTATTAGAAATTATTGAATCAAACATTGGTTATGATACTTACAAAACCATACAATAACTTGAAATAATCAAATTCGAAATGACCACTTCGATGTGTTGGTGAAGAATTTAAAATAAGATTTCAATTATCAATACTCTAACAAGTGAGTGGATCTGAAAATATATCATTATAGAATATTTAAAATGTGTGAACGTGCTATGAAAACGTATTATTTCCCTATAGTTCGATTGGATTCCATCAACAACAAAAAATGTTTTTGATAAACTTCATTTCGAGTTTTTAAACTGAGTACATACTTTAATCAGGAGCCGTGAAATCTGCACTCTGAATGCGTGAATCCCAAGGAAACATAAATAAATGTATAAATACCTACGCATTTTCCATCATCTGAATAGTTTCGGGCGGTAGGTCAATAATTATTACCATCCGTACTTCCCTATTGTGTTAGAGTTCGTTTCATGTAGTCAGATCCGAGTTATATTAAGGAATCTACTCTGCGATTGCGGACAACAAAATACATCTAACGATAAGTTTTCCTACATAGAATTCATTTTTACAGATCATATTGAACAGATACTTCAAAATGTGAAATCCCTTCTTAAAAAACTCAAGATTCAATCCTATTGAATTAAGCAATCATATTAACCATAGGTTGTGAGTTATGCTGTCCATTCTTCTTATTTGGAAAAACCATCTATCTAATCAATAAAACGCCCACGCAACACAGACGTGCAAAAAAAGTAAGATGTGAGCACATACATACATAACTCCGCCTGTAGCTCCTCCAGGGGCTACTGACGGTCCCAAGCCCGGGTAAAGGAGGAGGGTTGGGCATGGGGTTAGCGACCCCATCCCGTAGAAAATCAACTCGCTAAAAAAACGCTAACCAGAAAAATTCATTCAAACCATTCAAACTCTGCCCTGGGAGTAGAAGGAATAATTATGACGTCTCATGATGAAAGCCGAGCTCCTTCGGAAGTTATGAGGCCGATGCACCTTCTTACAACCAGAGCGACAATTTTTATAGGTACATGGAATGTCCGAACAATGTGGGAGACCGGAAGAGTCTTCCAAATTGCTGCAGAAATGAGAAAATACAACCTGGAAGTGCTTGGAATCAGTGAAACACATTGGACGCAGGTTGGACAACAACGACTGTCTTCAGAGGAACTTCTGTTATACTCCGGTCATGAAGAAGAAAATGCCCCACATACACAAGGAGTGGCACTGATGCTGTCTAGAAAAGCACAAAATGCGCTTATAGGATGCGAATCTCATGGACCGAGGATCATCAAAGCCTCCTTCAGAACAAAGAGAGAGGGCATTACAATGAACATCATCCAATGCTATGCGCCGACCAACGACTACGATGAAGACGCTAAAAACCAATTCTACGATAGGCTGCAGTCAATCTTCGAGAAGTGCCCAACCAAGGACCTGACCATTCTAATGGGAGATTTCAATGCCAAGGTTGGAAAGGACAACACTGGATACGAAGACGTCATGGGACAATATGGACTGGGAGGAAGGAACGAAAACGGTGAGAGATTTGCAAACCTATGTGCTTTCAATAAACTGGTCATAGGTGGCACCATATTCCCACACAAAAACATACACAAAGCCACTTGGATTTCACCGGATCACACTACACAAAATCAAATCGACCATGTCTGCATCAACAAAAAGTTCAGGAGGACGATGGAGGATGTGAGAACCAGAAGAGGAGCTGATATAGCATCCGATCACCATTTGCTGGTCGCCAAGATGAAACTAAAACTCAAGAAGCACTGGACAATGGCGCGGACAACATCACAAAAGTTTAACACGGCCTTTCTTCGAGATGCTGACAAACTCAACGAATTTAACATAGCCCTCAGCAACAGGTTCGAGGCCTTTCATGACCTACTCAGTGGAGAGGGAACCACCATAGAGAACAGCTGGAAAGGTATCAAGGAGGCAATCGTTTCAACATGTCAGGAGGTTCTGGGCCAAAAGAAGCACCATCACAAGGAATGGATCACTGTTGGTACACTGGATAAGATTGAAGCAAGGAGGAACAAGAAGGTAGCAATCAATATCAGCCGAACAAGAGCAGAAAAAGCCAAGGCACAAGCCGAATACACAGAGGCAAACAAGCAAGTGAAGAGGAGCATCAGAACCGACAAACGTAAATATGTGGAAGATTTAGCGATGACAGCGGAAAAGGCTGCAAGAGAAGGAAACATGAGACAATTGTATTATACAACAACCGTTGACTGACTGACTGACTGACTGATACAACAAAGAAACTTGCTGGAAATTACCGTAAGCCAGAAAAACCAGTGAAAAACAAGGAAGGCAAAGTAATCAACGATATTGAAGAACAACGAAACAGGTGGGTAGAACACTTCAAGGAACTCTTGAATCGACCAGCTCCACTGAACCCACCCAACATCGAAGCAGCACCCACAGACCTCCCAATCGATATTGGCCCACCAACAATTGAAGAGATCAGCATGGCCATTAGACAAATCAAGAGTGGCAAAGCAGCGGGACCAGACAACATCCCGGCAGAGGCACTGAAAGCAAATGTAACAGCAACTGCCAAGATACTCCACATCCTCTTCGGTAAGATTTGGGACGAAGAACATGTACCAACAGACTGGAAAGAAGGACTTCTCATCAAGATACCAAAGAAAGGCGATCTGAGCAAGTGCGACAACTACAGAGGCATCACTCTCCTCTCAATACCAGGAAAAGTCTTCAACAGAGTATTGTTAAACAGGATGAAGGATTCCGTGGACGCTCAACTTCGAGATCAACAAGCTGGACTTCGTAAGGATAGATCGTGCACAGATCAAATCGCAACTCTGCGGATCATTGTGGAACAATCAATCGAATGGAATTCATCACTGTACATCAACTTCATCGACTACGAGAAGGCATTTGATAGCGTGGACAGGACGACACTATGGAAGCTTCTTCGACACTACGGCGTGCCTGAGAAGATAGTCAACATCATACGGAACTCCTATGATGGACTAAACTGCAAAATCGTTCACGGAGGACAACTCACCGACTCGTTCGAGGTAAAGACCGGTGTTAGGCAAGGTTGCCTACTCTCACCCTTTCTCTTTCTCCTGGTGATCGACTGGATTATGAAGACGTCAACATCTGGAGGAATGCACGGGATACAGTGGACAGGCAGGATGCAGCTTGACGATTTAGACTTCGCGGATGATCTGGCTCTTCTATCACAAACGCAACAACAAATGCAGGAGAAAACGACCAGTGTAGCAGCAGCCTCAGCAGCAGTAGGTCTCAATATAAACAAAGGGAAAAGCAAGACTCTCCGATACGATACAATATGCACCAATCCAATTACACTTGACGGAGAAGCTTTGGGGGATGTGGAAATCTTTACATATCTGGGCAGCATCATTGATGAACACGGTGGATCAGATGCAGATGTGAGGGCGCGGATCGGCAAAGCAAGAGCAGCATACCTACAGCTGAAAAACATCTGGAGCTCAAAACAATTGTCAACCAACACCAAGGTTAGAATTTTCAATACAAATGTCAAGACAGTTCTTCTGTATGGGGCAGAGACGTGGAGAACTACGAAAGCCATTATCCAGAAGATACAAGTGTTTATTAACAGTTGTCTATGCAAGATACTTCGGATCCGATGGCCAGACACTATCAGCAACAAGTTACTGTGGGAGAGAACAAACCAGATTCCAGCGGAGGAAGAAATCAGGAAGAAGCGCTGGAAGTGGATTGGGCACACTTTGAGGAAATTACCCAATTGTGTCACAAGACAAGCCCTCACATGGAATCCTGAAGGTCGAAGGAGAAGAGGAAGACCAAAGAACACATTACGCCGAGAATTAGAGACAGACATGAGAAGAATGAACAAGAACTGGAAAGAACTAGAAAAGAAGGCCCAGGACAGAGTGGGTTGGAGAAAGCTGGTCGGCGGCCTATGCTCCATTGGGAGTAACAGGCGAAATGCTAATGCTATGCTATACATACATACATATAACTTACCTATTACATAAAGTTACTAATTGTTTAGCGGCAAAATCTCTTAGTGCCCAATGATTATCTGTAATTGGTTTAGCGCATAATTGACGATTAAGTACACATGTGATCACTGTAGGCACAAGTAAATGTAAATATGGTTCCAGTGAAATATGCGGATTATCAATTAATGCTTTAACTAATCGCATTAAATAAATTAATATAGCAAGATTATGATTAGTTACATTGATTCTTACCTGTAAAATAAAAATAAACAAATAAATAGATGAACAACTGTAAATATATATTCTCAAGACAAAAAATAAAATTGAACAAAGACATTGATTGAAGTTAGACATGTACACTATTAAATACAGGCTCAGTAGTCTAGAATTTAGGTGTTCGAGCGTAAGACCAGTCCTGAGATAAACTTCTGGTTGTTGGGTCATGGATTCGCGCTGCTGAGGAGTCCCACACTAAAATAAACCACTCGTCTAGAGCCTCCGCGTTTTTAAGGGTTGTCTAACTTAGATCGGTTTATATCAATAAGAAGTAGGCTGGCCGTTGATTGATTCAAAATTAAGTTTTAAAAACGAAAACATGCAACTATTAACCATAAATTACTAATGAAACACAAATCTTATAGAACATATGGATTTTAGTTAGTGTTGTAATCCAGGGTACGTGTTTTGTTAGATTTGAGACTTTTCAGTCGGATTTACCTGCACCTGTGTTAATGCACGCATTGGAACTCAAAGCCAGTACCATCCGCTTTAAAAGCCCAATGTGTTATCCAATGATCTCCTAAATCCAGGTGGCCGTCAACTTATTAAACGGGTATAATTTTTATATCATAAGTGGTTCGAATTATCTCGTTTAAAAAAAGTATTCTAGTTAGTATGATAAATTAGACAGGCGAGTTGTATAGAACAGTTCAATTTGAAGATAGTAGTGTGATGAACTTATTTCAGCAGGAGGGAGAATCATCGAAAACTTTGAAACCACTGGACAACTGTTTGATCATGACGGAAGGCACTTTTCAAGTGAACAAATCTTCACAAGGCAATCTCAACAATAATCATGTGCTGATTGATGATTACGTTTAAAATGGATTTTCTCCTAAAAATTCTAGTGAGATGCGACCTTTGTAGTTGAAACATCGTGGAGCGATGACCCATTGATTGAGATTCGACTTTTAGCCACCAACTTGTGGGTTTGAACACCGCTGCTTTTATTTCGATCTGGATAGATGTACAGCATCACTAGCACCTACACTTTGAGTGTGGCAAGCCAATTCCATCAATCTACATTTGGTGAGTTTAGTTGACAAACATGTCAAAAGTAAGATACTTATCACTGATTGCATTGCTACATTATGTAATAAATACGGAGATGTTTGGTTTCAGACTAATGTTCTACATAATCCAAACATCAAAACATAAGTAACAAAAGTACTGCAACTAGGTCCTAAAGCATAGCTTTAGTTACTAAGCTATAAGTTGTACTTATTTTACATATAAGAAACTAATCAAGTAGCTTTTAACAGCTGATTATTACCTATTGACCCCTAACTTCATATAAACAGAAAGTCATTAAATCAATAATTTTGCTTCAGCAATCGTCAGTCACACGCAGCGTAGAACCTGGCATATGCATACACCGGTTTAAGTTGGAACACCTCATTAGCATAGAGTGATGAAATTGTTAAAGCAAATCTAAGGGTAATTAAGGTACAGACAGTATTAGTGGTAATAGAAAATATTAGACATAAAAGATGTGATTAGAGAAAGTATGGAGTAAGCTATACAGAAACATATGATTGAAACAGACAGGCGAAAACTAACATTTGCAACGTCACCGTGGAAATCAATGAGGTAAGAATGTGGAACCGAGGTGATGATTTATCAGTTATAATCGAGAACGTGTCCCTCTCTCTCCCTATCTACAATGTCTTGATATATCTGCTAAACAACTTTACATCCAAACCAACAGAGGAGCTGAAACTTAGAACAACGTAAGGTGATGAAAATATGCAGTGGAATTAGGCGAACGTAATTCACTGACTGGCTAAGAATTACAATTCTTTCAAGTCCAACTTTTAGCCAACAGAAAACCAGTCGTTATCATCATATCATTCTTACTGATAGTGGTAGATTACATAATCTTCAGGCCTTAGTGTTTTGAAAACGAGTATATGAAATGTTTATTAAAGTTACTTTTTATAAAGGTAAGCAAAAACATACACCCTCTGTAATGAATGTCATAAGATGAGGTAATATTGGCTGAAGTCCTGGATCTAATGTAGCATTGTCCAGAGCCTCATGTCGTCGAGTTTCATTAGCACCAACACATGCCTCAGTTAATTCACGAAAGTAAATCATCACCTCTTGACTGATTTCATGAGGACGACGCTAATAAGAAAAAGTGGGGAAACATAAAACGTAGATAGTAGATAAAAAATCAACTATTAATGTTAGGTATTTGTCAGTACCCCATTCACAAATATACATATAATAGTCTGGCAAAAAATGTAGAAAACGGTATACAGTTTGTTGGTACTCGATCACCGATACCTCTAGGGCCTTGCTTGCATATAATAAAACCATCGAATAATCGTGATGTTATGGTGCGACAATAAATCGGTTGATGAATCTTCATCAACCAAGGTAGTGGGAAAACTTATCAAGCATTGCTAGTCAACACCTACCTCAACGCGTAACGATAGTTGGTATAACACTAAAAAAGTCAAAGCAATACATGGTGATTTTCCATGAGGTCACAGACAGATATGAGATATGTTAGAAAGTAGAGGCCTTTAAATTTGGGTCCTCAAGATAATCACAAATTTCGATCAAATGATGTAAATTATGAGCAGTAACAGTAGTACAAATGTGTTAAGTTTTCATCTGTTTGAAAATCGTGATCTTGGAATTACCCTTTACTTCTCACTCCCCAACCGTATTTATTCCAATCATTCCCTATTACTTCGGTTCGGATATTTTTATGCTATCAGTGTCATTGATATTTCGACTCCTATGACTTTAAACCTGTTAATATCTTGTCTCTGTGCTCATACGATGTTTGACAACTTAAGTCAAGCCATATTTGTACCACAACCTAAGTAACAAAATGTAGGTACATGTAGGTGAATAATTAAATTGTTTAAAAACGATCACGCGGATTTGTATCTAATCTACTGTGCAGCACTGAAACATCGCGTGATTAGTCACGTTCTCCTCGGCCTAACAGCAATTATTGTAGAACATGTAATGAACTCGACTCCAAAATCTGACCAATTTTACGTCTATTATGATCTACTGAGAGTATGAAGTGATGATGAAAGCCAGAGCGGCTTATGCCAATCTGGGTCATCTTTGGCGCCTTCGTGATGTTAGTCTGGCTGTAAAAGGTCGGATCTACAGCGCGTTGGTGAGAGCAGTTTTGCTCTATGCTTGTGAAACCTGGCCTCTCCGAGTTGAGGATTTAGACGACTCTTTGTGTTCGATCATCGTTGTCTCCCAAGGATTGCTGACATTCAGTGGCAACACCATGTTAGTAATGCAGAGGTTCGGCATCGTGTGTTCGGGCGCAGAGACGATAATTAGATTGGTGTCGCCATCTTGAAACACCGACTTCGGTAGCTTGGACGTGTTTTACGAATGTCGTCCCAGAGAATTCCACGTCGTGCATTATTTGCCGACTCTGGGACTGTTTGGAAAAAGCGGAGAGGTGGTCAGTGTATGACATGATGCCGTGGCATGAAAGAAGGCTGCAAAGGGCTAGCTTCTGTTGATCCTTCACGACTCCCTGGGTGGGGTCCGAGAGATGGTGTAACACAGTGGCTAGAGACGTTATCAGATATGGCTCAGAATAGAAGCCAGTGGCGAGCCTGCTGTAACCTTCTTTTACTTTCTTCCTAAAGAGTGGTTCTAACTTTCTTAACTGAAAGAGTCTTCCGGTTGTACATTTCAGTCCGCCTTATCTTTTCATCCCTTCTCTTCCTACTTTCATTATTTTGTGTGGCGCATATGTATCTGGTACCCTTTTGTACCAATATGTATGTGTTTAAATAAATAAATAAATGAAGTGATTTCAAAGATTTCAAGTGAATTAACCTAAAAATCAGTTATTATAAAAACCTACTATTGAAATACAATACACTCGTTATCGTACAATTCTTATTACTACGTTCTCACATCACTAAACATCGACGTCAAACTAACTGAATACAATAAATGAATCATCTTCATTTACCAAGCACAGGATTATGTACTCAAGGCTTTGAGTTACACTTATTGTTTCAGGGTTAGCGACATTATTAATGTTGCACCCTGTACCAGTTAGATGGACAGGTTTTAAACTCGTTACATATTTGGTTTAAAACTAAGTAAGCGTCTTTTAATTACTAACCTATCAAGCGCTGACTAATGGTACAGTCACATCAAACAAACAACTAGATATTTATAAATGACCATACGTTAGGGACTTTGGACAATATTTTAAGAACTGACATAATTCCTATACTGTCTTTAAAGAAATAACAACTATACAACTGCTAGAAAACTTTGAAAGTGGCACTAAGCACGTCAGTACAATAGTACCGTTTGGTTAGTCAATAAAAATTATGATGAAAAGTATCCCAATAATTAACATTAAATTATCAGAACTAATAATGACATCATTATTTTAAATTATTAGTTCATCATAATGCATATTTATTTATTTAGAATACATTAACATAAGAATAACTGACGTAAATCAGAATTTACCTCGATAGACACTGCTAAAACTTTTCTTGGATGAGATCCAGATAATAAATCTAATTTATCTCGGTTACTATTATGTATACCAATTTTAGAATGTTTTTCAACTGATGAATTTATATCATCATTTTTTTGGTGACTAATTGGTCGTTTATTCTGTTTATTATTAGATCCAAATGAATTATTTAACAAAGCCATCTTTGCTAAAAAATCCGGTGGAGGATTCTGTGGTGATGTAGGCTGTTTTCCATTTACTGATAACCAATGAGCTGAAATGAAGTAATACAAATATATATCTATATATTTAGTGAATCACAATGTAAGAATACGATTTATTTCATATGACTAAATCAGGTGTACAGTATATAAACATGTTTCATATGGTGACTGATAAGAAAAATTCGATCTACGTGAAAGTTTGTGGAGATCGCTGAGTGTCATTGAGAATAAAAATCGGTCTAAGCTAGACGACCATTTTAAACCTGATAGCAATCGATAGTTGCCTTGTCCTAGTATGAGGCTCCTCAGCAATGAACAGCCAAGACCCCACCAGGAGGGGTCGGACCCAGGGCCCAGGACTAACGAGAAATGTCTAAGGGGAAAATCAAATAGCTCTTTTCTATCTGAAGTCTGTACTAATGATGCTTTTCAGAAGTATCCTGAAAGCTTCACGGCTAAGTCACCCAGAGCGGAGAGCAAAACTCCACCAAAAAACTAAATAACACTACACAATGGCGCTTAGCCAACTGAGGCTGATCAAAATTAGAAAACCTTCAATCATTAATGTAATAGAAAGAACCAGATTGCCTGATATACAATGATTTGGTTGTCTATGGTGACGAATTATAAATTGAGGGAAAGAACATAGAAATCAAAGTACCTGGTACAGTGAATCCCTAATATACTAACTTTTTAACTAGGTTTTAGATCCTTACAGTCTAAGACCATTGAAGTTTTGAATGGAACCAGGAGACGGAAATGTGACGAATCCATTTTTAAGGTTAGTTTGGTTGTTGAAACTAAATGGTATATGCATGGATACCAGCCCACCTGGAATCCTAGAACTCTTTGAAAAAGGTGCAATATGAGTAAAAAGTTGACTGGTCTAGTTTAGTAAGGACATAAATTGGTTGGTGTCCAAACCACTTTGTCGACTTTCTGAAAACACTGATTGATTGAAGATAGTTTAAGTACTTTTCAGTTTTGCTCAACTTTTAGAAACAAGTGTAAACATCACCTAAAAGTAAAATTAACTCGAATGCAATCATTGCAACCGATTACACATACTAGTTGGTCTACACTAACCCAAAAATAACCAGTTAATCTATTCATGTGTCTCAGATCCCATAAATTCTGCTTACCAACTAAACTAACATCGTAGATAACACCTGCTGGTTCACGAAGTAATAAAGCTTTGACATCGATTTCCTTATCTGGTCGAATGAAAAAAACTTTGCCACCAGGACCTGAACTTGCAGTACGACCACCCGTACGAATTGGGAGAAAATTTGCAGTAGTTGTTCCGAAAGGACTCTGTTGGGGAAGTAATAATAGTACTCAGATTAGTAAAATTTGGTAAAAACGAGAACTGAAATGAAACTAATTATGAAACGACCAGGTCGCAAGGAATTAATACGAATAACAAATTGCCTGGGTTATCATAATAGTATTGGTATAAAATAGAAAGCTAGTAAACTTTTACATTAAACTGTTAGATATTCGATGAGTAGTATTTTAAAGCTTTCCATCAATCCGACTACTTATAATAGTAAAGAAGAACAAGAACATATTCTTTTATTAATCCGAGTTCATAATTTTATGTTTCATGATTCCAGTTGAGAATAAATAATATCTAAAGAGTAAATAAGAGTGAATGTATTGTATACTAAATGAAATTTAACATTCCTTGATGCTATCACTGAATGAATATAAACAAAACTTTCAGCCATCTGAAGAACAAATTTTGAGGTCTGAGATCTGACTCCAATTGTATCGTGTGAATGATTGTTATTGGAATATACATGTCGCAAATCCTCGTACATAATTATCGACTTGAATAGCGTTAGTGAAGAACGGAATTAAATAAGTCAAATACGAGAATGGATTTCTGAATGCATATTTTGTACATTCGATCTGGACAATTAGAGGGACAAAGTGAAGGAAGCGAATAGAAGAAAGAGAAGCAAAATGACAAGCAATGGAAAAGGCGTGTGAGCCGATTCGATTTAATCAAGTGTTAATCAATATTTATAGTCAGATGAAAATAAGTTACAGACATGTGATGATTAGGATAAGATGTACACACACATACACTCATATAAAAACAATCAAGGTTGACAAGTGAGTAACTAACATGGTCAAAATGTAGCTTGAGGAGAATAGGTAAGTTGGTTCGTCCAGAAGCTATGTGGGCTCGACAAAGAACCAGTCACTGCACAAATTGGTGACAACCCATATTTTAAGAAAGACTTCGAAACTTGAGGATTTCCACTCACGAAAATGTATTGATTTCTTTGATTTTTTGATAGAACTTTTGGAAATAAGCTTGAATCAAACAGGTGAGTACAACGATAGGGTAAAAATGTCTGCATACATTAGCTTGGTTATTTCAACCAACAGTTAGTCCAAATTTAAAATGACTAACTTCGGTACTGGTTATTAGCATTTTGAAAACAGTGGTAAAAACAAATAGTACGTTTCTTCTCTAATAACTACAGCTCATAATAATAAAAAACAGAATACTGATACGTTTAGCACCAGTTTTTGTGTCCATGTGAATATTGAGTTTACTACCAGATGTTGCTATAATCTTTACGTTTTTCTAAAAAAAATACGTCTGAAGTTGGTGGATCAAGACCACATTAGCACGGGAAAAATACAAGGTGGCTGACAATGTCAGTCATCTCATTTACCACTAGACTGGAATAACAGGCATTATAAAAATATTACACACACAGAACTACAGCAATGTGATGTACTTTTAGTGACATTTCATCTTCAATCTAAATGATTTGAGTGATAACTCTAGGGAAGAGAAAAACTATATCTTCAAAAGTCGTGGGTACTACAACCCATTCCTTTTCAAATAACACCATAATATTCTTCTAAGTCTTCGAATCAGCCATACCACAAGAGTGAAGCTAAAAATCATGTATTCAAAGGAAAATGAGGGTGTCTATTTGGAACGCCGATTACCTAATGCGGTTTAACATGCAAGTAATATCTACAAGACATGACATACGGTCTAAAAAATATAATGTATGAACAAATGCTTCAGTTAGAAAATTTATATGACAATAGAAAGTCTATCCAAATTAGTATTACAATTACGGAGGCAGAGAATATTTATTCAACAATAACTATGAGTAATCTCATTTGAATCGGTTAACGTTACACTTGTACAGGTTCGTGAGAATAAATTACCATACAAATTTCATTATGAAATAGTTATTGTAAAAACTTGCTTCAAGTCCGATCAAAACTGAAGCCAAATCAATATCGGACGCTTGAGGGACACCTCGACGACTTTGTTCCATTACTCGAAGGACTTCATGAATTAAAAGTCGAGCTATTTGATTCAAATGTTTCTGAAGGAGATTGGCTGCAGATTGCGATAGGTTAGAAACGCCACACATCTCAGCACACAAAGTAGCAACATCAACATTAATCTCCTGCTTTGGCACCTTTTCAGATACAACAGATGCACATTTGGCTTGCTTTTGTGAATTACGAGACAGCTTCTGTCTCAAACCTAGAGCTTTTCCAAGCGATGACGATGAAGGCTTTCTTAACAGTTTATTTAGTCTTCGTTTTTCTGATGAATCCATTTGAATATATCAATGGCAATGAATGGGGGACAGGCAATAACTAATTAACACCTGAAAGCAAACGAATTCAAAATAGGACGAAATAAGACATTAACTAAATACTGAGATTTTTAGTAAATGATCAATACTTCGATAGCTTTTAATAACGTAGTTTCCAAAAGTATCCTCTTATTGAGCTAAAAACTGGCAGATGCATCCATTAACTATTGGAAAACGAAAAAATACATTGGAATTATATACTCGATAATCAAATCAGATGCACAGCATCCCAAAGTATATATAAAGCTAGAACTCGATCAAGGAACCAAAAAGTGGTATACTACCACACATATTACATCTAAAATCATGCATAGGTTGATCATGACTATTACCCGTTGGTAACCGTCAGCTTTGTCAATATTCTTTATAAAATGAACGGTCTACTTCAAGGCTAAATCAAACAGACCATACACACTAAACAGTCAGCTGAAAAAACGTTAGGTTAATATTTGAATATCACACGCTGACGAGTCTCAGACAGCTATATTACTTCCTACAATGTTTTAAAACGGAAGTACATTATTTTATTTATTATTTAAACACATAAATATTGGTACAAATGAGCACCAAATACATATGCGCCTCACAAATCTCATTCGATTTGTGTGAGGGCTGTGATACTGCCCAGGTGCCCAGACTGAATCAGGTGGTTTTCTTAGGGGGCCACACCCGGAGCCTTTGACTTGAATGTCTGATCCACAAGGCAGTGGAGCATCGTGAGGAGATGCAGTCCCATGGTAGCCGTTGACCAATGACAGGTTCGTCCGCCATTCGTTCCATCAGGATACTGGAGCCCATGTGCACCATTGGTTTGGAATCAGGGTTTTCCAACTCCCCTAAGTGGACCCTCTGTGTCCACCAACCCGGTTAAAGCGCCGGACATTCGCTTTTCGTCCTCTCACTTTCGTAAACAACACCCCCGCCACGAGAAGGCAGTGAGTAGGACTTCCTTGGCAGAGGCTAAATATTCGCTGGCCATATGAGAGCATTTCGAGAGGGAGAGGTGACTCTCCCCACTCTCGGCCGTACCAGGGCATTTGGGGGCCAGTAGATTAGTAGGACTATAATTTATGAACAGGCCAATCAGATTTAAAACAGTTGATCTCGCGTTTCAGTGTGAAATTCACTCATTCACACGGCTAAATGGCATTCCCACACCATACCTCATGTTGGTTTGTGATCAGAACTCCAACGTTACTTTCTATAAAACTAACTCTTGATTTTGATTCTTCGCACTAATTTATAACTTTATTTCAACCCCAGCGAAGGATGGGAGTTTCACAAAAGTACTTTTATTTATTTGAACGCATAAGCATTGGTACAAGGGGGTACCAAATACATATGCACCACAAAATATCAATGATGTGAAGAGATAGGGAATGTAAAGTATAATAAAAGAGCAACAAAGAACAGAAAAACGTTCGAGGGTTAATAATAATAATAATGGGGGAAACACTTCAGTCAGCAAAAATATAAAACCAGAAAGAATTTGTTCAATTAAGGAAGTTGCGTTCATTTTTTATAAAGAAAGTAAAGGGTACTTTAATAGCATCCCACGGTCATTCATGTATTCTAGTCTCCCGAACAGCTTTACTAAGCTATTACATTTATTCTTAACAACTATCTAATCAGATACGACCACGAGGCTATCAGAAACCTAAATCGGTTTAAGCTGACACGCACTACATGAGAGCAGTCAGGAAAAACATAACAAGGTGAAAGGAGTGTAAATAATTAATGGTAGTGGAAAACTAGAAACAAACATGGTCCAAAATGAAGAAACTAAATCAAATGACCAAATGCATTAACACATCTTAGGCCTAGTGTTTAAAAGAATAATTGGCAACGAACTCATTGGTGTGATTGTAATCAACTTTCAGGGAGAGACTATAACTTATGGACAAACTATGATTGACCTTAAGAAAATTCACCTACTTATTAGGTTCAAGAAAGGGTTATAAACGAGCATGGGGAATTAAGATTTTAGGGTTTGGAGTTATAAGTTTGGGATAGGAATTAGAAAAAGGGTTTTCGCCACGAACTAACATCAAGATGCCATTTAACAGTATAAATGAATGGATTTCTGTCAAAAATCCAAAACTCACTATCTGTAATTTTATTGGCTTGTCCACAAATTTTAGTCTCACCATTTCTAAAGATACTCCAGAGTATCGCAGTTTTCTATAGATCGAAAGAGAACTGTGTAGTGTCCCTAACCATAAGTTCTTACTGTTGCAAACCCCTGAAGTTCAAACAATAAATTTCGCAATTTCTAACCTTATTGTAACAGTTTCAAAACTATAGAACAAAAATAGTAAGGCACTATGGTAAGTAATATGTCATCCTAAGATAATGTTAGCATTATCTTAGCATAAGATTGAAAATAGATCTTTCCAGCCTTGATTAGTTAGAAATTTAAAGACTAACCATTTATAATTCAGACCACCTAGAGCATATCTCCCCTGTTATTTGGGAGTTGGAAAGCCAATCTATGAAGCATCATCGTAAAACAAGACACGACAATAACGACCCTGACCTAGGGACCAGCTAATTTGAAAAGGCGTTAGGGACAAGGACGTTGAATTCAAACATCACTGGCTAAAAATAGTTCAAACGGTTCTGGACGGAATAGGAGTTTTCACTTAACGGGCTTCCGTATCTAGAAGTGGATCATCGATGCATCCAGATAGGAACCTAGTTAAAATAATGATAGAAGAGGGGGGAAAGTAAATCATAGTAAAATACTATCCTTAGTCATTAATAAAATGTCAACTTTCCTCTTAACGGACTCCTGGAAAGTCGCATGAGCTAGCTCATCCAGCGGCGAATTCTAGCGTTTGACTACTCTTAAGAAGTAGAAGATGTTTCTACAGTCCGTTTTGCTGTGTTGTGTCTCCAGTTTCTGGGTGATACCCCTGAGGTTTGTGTTGGGACTAAGCTTACGTAGGTGTTTAAAGGGATGTTCAGAAGTATTTAGGATGCTGTAATCTATTAGAAGATCACCTCTAAGACGCCTGTACTCTACTGGATAAAGGTTCAGTGGTCGGACGCTTGGATTTGAGTCCCTGAACTGATTTCGTGGCTCGCCGTTGGGTACGTTACAGAGTGTTCTTATCCTTTTGGAATGAGAGGGGAAATATTATGTTTACGTACTCTAGATGGAGACAAATGAAACTGTTGAAGATTATGTGAAAAGTTCTTCCGTCAAACTGGCTTAAAAGGAGTTTCAACGTTGCCAGTACATGGTTTACCCGAATGGCAATTTCGTCACAGCGTACGACTTCAAATCGTCGAGTACCAGCACTCCTAAATCCTTTTCAACTTGGAATACTTCAAGAAGGGAATTGCTCGAGCTGTAACTCTAGCCTGCGACATGTCTCAGATGGACTACTTTACAATATCATGTGTTAAAGGTAAGTTCGTTGTCATCTGCCCAACCTTGAAGTCAAATCAAACGCTCCTGCAGTGCCAGTTTATCCTCTTGGTTGGGTATCTCTCTTCAAAGTTTCACATCGTCAGCTGTGAATAGTAGTCACAAGCATGACATTATCTACCTTTAAGTTACAATGTTTACAAAATCATTTCTGTCTCACTTACGGTAACAGAACGCATCCCTCCGTCCACCGATACTAGAAGGTACTAGATAGAAAGATTAGCTGTTTCCATCCTCAATACTGCACTCCATTCCGAAACCAGCACAATTTTTAAGTAGCATCAGGGTGTTGGATGCGAGTGCTAAATCACTGTTCTCATACGAAGTCACAGGAACGGTGACGTGGTTATTTAAAGTTCTATCCATTTCTACAAATTAGGCTAATAAACTGTCGTCGTGTAAAACTTGTTCGTCAAAAATGGCTAGCAGGATCCTTCGAGGAGAACGTACCAATTTTTCCCGAACTACTACTCGATGGTTAGCCAGTGTACGGTCAAAATATAAATGTATCCACACTACAAATGTGAAGTCGTTTATTCTACGCTTTTTCTATACACTCATATTAATTCGCGATTCAAAAGTTGCCCCAATATAGTTTTGCCGGCACTGTAGATTTCTTTTGGAGTCTCTCTTCTTCATACTAAACGTGTTAAAGCCATTATAAAAGCGTATGTACTCAGACTAAAGGCCCGATCTAAGTGTACAGCTCACGTTTAGAGACACGTAAATATTCATCCGCACCTCATTTCTTCAATTCTTCCTCGACGAAAAGTAGGCGATAATTGTCTCAAGTTCATATTTTGCAGCAAAACTAACGAGTTTTACGTTCTTAATGCACTACAAATGTATATAACTAAAAGAACATCAATATTTAAGGATCAATCCTCAGTAACGAAATCATGTACCTGGAATTTATCATTTCGACATGCTTCATTAATACTGTTCAGTAATCCTTGTAAACTAAAGACACGACATAAAACCATTGAACTTCCTAGAAGAGAGTTCACATTACTGTTATCTTTCATCCGTTTATATTAAGATTTCCTAATCCCTGATTTACAACCATGACGCTGTTTTGCTGTCTCAGTAAAGTACTTGAAATCCAATTATATGGTTTTTGATTATTTACGATAACCACCAAGTCTTCAACTGAGTAGTCTACACCTATTTACATGGGTCAGTCTGAATTTCAGTGTCCTCATGGACTGATGTTGATGAGTATTCGCCACCTCATCAATCGGTTCTCCATCTTTACCTAGTACTCCATTCCTAACCCAGACACGCCTTACACTCCGGTTCCAAAATGTACGAGCAATACTTCATAGACGCCTACGATCGATTGCCAATAAATACGAATGTCCCTTTTTCTTAGTCTCTATGTTTCACATCCGTAGAATAGAACGGAGCGAATTGCCGTGCACAAAACTACCCCTTCGATTGGAAGATGGAAATCTCGCATGCGCCATAAGTGACGCAAGTTAGTAAAGGCAAGTCGAACACTCCGAATCCGTGTCAAGATTTCTTTAAACACTAGACCATCAGGACTTATGGGACTGTGAAGTTATTTGAAGCAGTCAATACGTTTAACTACTTCTCTCCCTATAATCATTTCAGTCGATGAACCAGGCCACATCCTTTAGTTAGACATCAAAGTATTATCCAGAATAAACATGTACTCCGGAATGAACGACAGTCCTCAGCCAAGCCCTACCAACGGTGGCTAATGGTCATGTGATCCATTTCAGTCCATCGACTAGTCGATCCTGGCCTTCGCTGCAGACTACAATTCTCCTTGAGTTTAAAGTCAGCGTTTGCCAGAAATAGACGACTAGCTGAGCATAGTTGCACCAAACAGTAGCCATTATCTGTTCGCTGAACCGCAACACCATAATATCTGTGCCCTTCTGTTTAGTTTAGTCTACCTACTTGGACATTAAAATAGCCGTCCCTATTACTAAACCAAAGCGTTAAGGTTTTGGAGGTTGGATAGCTTCCTATAAAATCAATCTTAAACCTCATCCAAGCTGGAATCGATCGGACCGTAGACAGAGACAACCAGAACGCAAAGGCTTGTGTCCATATTCTTACGAGTTCTAACTGTTCGGTCAGACAGCACATAAGCGACTGTCTATCGGAATCCAGTCTAACAGATCCTGTTCTGCTTTTACATTTAATGCTATACCTGTACCAACAGGACCTTGGAAAGTAGCAAAGGGATCTCCAGATACTTGAAGTGCAAATTGTACCGGTTTCTTGAATTGTCAAAGTGAGGCCAAGTGAATGTACTTGGATCCTGTATGCGTGTTTCCGAGACGCAGCATACATCAATGGCATGAGACTCTAGGGTGTTAGCTAAAGAAGCTTATTTTCCTATCTGGTACAAGGTTCGAATATTAAGAGCTCCAACAGGTAGTTTAGAGTGTGATTTCAGAAGACCAGAAATAGCATTTCGTGGACTCAAATTATAAGATTTGGTGGCGCGTGGTGATAAAGATAAATGAAAAGAGTTATTCATGGGGATCAAAGAATTATAAAGAGGTAAAGGGGTTTGACAATCAACAACTTGATTATATATATATATATATATATGTAGAGAGAGAGAGAGAAGGATAGAGAATCACTCATGTCAAGACTACACAGATGTTTTCCGACCACTGACACGAAACCTATCATCTGTGTTTCCAGCCGTTTTTTTTAAACGGCTAAATATGGGACACTGATCCATTCGATCTTGTGTTACGTAGACTCGCTAAACAGAAAATCCTATCAGCACGGAAGACTTGACAAACATGTTAATGGTCACTACTTGGATAGAAACCAGTTTAAGTAAGTGATAGACGTAACAACTGTTTAAAGGTAAAATGAGTTTTCATTTACTAGGGAACATAAATTTTAAAATACACACGCATATAATACATTAGCCAGCATATTGTGCTTAACTATGGTCTTTTTATAAAAAAAACGAATATTTAAGTAATATTTTGGAAGAACTGACTATGAAACGGGAAGTAGGTCCTAAAAAACGACCACACTGGCTAAAAAACACTTTGAATAATAAATACATTCATTATTGTAAGATAAACATTGAAAGGAAGAAAAACAAAATAGATGAGCAAGTGAAAGTGAATCATTTTCTCATTCAATACAAATAAAAAATAGTTTTGGTAAATCAATTAATCAATACATTATATATACGGCTATCAGCTTGTTTATTCAGCTTTCCTTGCCTTTGTTGTTGTTCGTTTTGATGCTGAGTTCGATGAACTTGAAGTGGTATTACTACTGTTACTGACGGTGGTGTATTGACTTGAACTCTCAGAAATCCCTGCACTATTCGTAACTTGGCGATGCTTTTCTGCAGATTTTCGTTTATTTATTGTTGTTGGATTGGTCTTCTTAGTATTTCCACCAAATAAAGACAGTGACGAAAGGAACTGAAAAATGAATAAAATAAAATTACCCAAGAAAAAGGTAGTAAAAATATAACAGAACATTTCGATATGATACTACGACTTGATGCGAGATTGTTAGATACTTAATCGATACTCTATGAACAGAGCAGAACCACATGTTATGGAGGATAAACGACTCACGATTAAATATAGAGAACCCGAGTATAGTTCATAAAAACCTTTATTCAACACGACTGAGGGTAGTCTACATTCAGTGAAGTTTGGAGTAGAAACCAATAACAGAAAGGAAATCGTATATTAAATAGTTAGAAAACTGAATGTCTGTCTGTTATCGTCCAATGACCGGTCACATCTTACTTTTACTGATGATATACCACTTATTATAGCACAATTACAAATTATACAGTTGAAAATAGCCTAAAAGCATGCTAATTAAATAAAAATAAGTGAGACAAGTTTATTTGTGATAAGATTATTGATATTATTTAACTGGTTTGCTTTTAATTAGAGAACATGTGACATGCCGAGTGATCCTCCGTCAACATTATTATTGATTTCTCACTGGTTAAATCTTCAGATAAAAATTTTTAGTCAAAAATTTTAGAAATCTAGCTTGAATTTCATTGGAACCACGAACTGATCAATATTAGACCGCCAGTGAAAACCTGTGAGCACTGAACGGCCATTTCTTCCTAGTGCATATCCACGACCCCACAAACGGTAATTTAACGTAAGACATTGGACCTTGCGAGCGAACGCTTACCCTATGGACTACTGACTCCGATTCAATGGTGTACATATCTAACGAGAATCTATCTTGAATCTGATAAACTGTGAACAATGCGTTGTCATTATTATTAACATTAGGTTCCCTAAAGATTTTCCATGGTTAGGAAATAGTTCCTACTGTCACTAATATCCTCTTCAGCTACCTAATATTTCCTCCCCACGATTCCTTCATTCGGATCTACCCAAATCAGAAACTGAAAGCAAACAATATGCATTCCAATAAATTGAACAAAGACACATTAGTGAGAAAAATTAGTCTGTACAGAATTTGCATAGAAATACCTTTAATTAACCTGTCGACCAGCGCTGATTGCACGAAGATGGATTAATTAATGTATTTCGATTCGAGTATGAAATAGTTAGGACTCTATCTTGCTAGCAATCACGAAACGATGTCATGCGATAAAGATTACTTCAAAAAGAAAACAGAACAGAACGTTTTGTCCTGTTGTAAGAAATCCCTGGATCTCTTGATAAATACGTGAGTGTTTTGAATTCATTCTCAGTTTAAGCACTAATAATGAGGATTTTCGAATACAAAACAACAGTCCAGCGATTTGTCTTAAGTTTTAAATGGTTTTTTTCACTTGATGTTGGTTTATAATAGAAATTACATAAATACACCATTTATTTCTTTAGAAGAGCATCTATCATCACACATCAGAATTTCTAGTTTGTTGGGTCGATGAAGAAGTCTGTAGGAAACTCGAGACCTAGATCCCAAGCTACTTGACACTCATCAACAGGGCGTGCCTGCAATCTTAAAGAGACTGACGTTTCCTATGATATTCCAAGCCCATCACCCAGTTTTACAGTCTGGAGACGTTGCTACTGAGCTATTTGGGTAGCGGGTGACTTAATGTAAAACTAAAATATTTACACTGACTAATCACAGGGTGATGACATATGTCATGTTTGTCTAACCGTTTAGTACTAACGTTTACGGTTTCCTCCCAACTACCTCAACCCACCTAACATTCGAACATTATACATACGATCTCCAGTCACTTATACCAGTGGGCACATTAGAGTCCCATCGATAAAATTTGATTAGCACTAAAGTACTAGGCAAATATGACACAACTCACTATTCAGTGATCAAACAATTGAGAATTCGTAGCTTAAAACCTTTCATTGTTGAAACTTACTTCATCTACTGACCATAACTACGCTCGACAAACATTACAGGTTGCAAGCAGCTGATGAGAACTTAACGAAGTAAATTCAATTTATGTCATTCTGCTCAATTCTTTGATCTTGATCCATTCAAGACAATAAAAGTAACTAAGTGTATGAGATTTTTCAACAAATAAGTTTGGAATTAATTACCAACGTTAACACTTCATCGGTTATGTATTTACTATCTCATCAACTTGGTGCTTCAACTTATATAATTAATACTCAACGATACCACGAAAGTGGTAGCCGGTGACTAACAATAAGCTCATAAGTATTTTGTTTCCTCAGGATACTGGAACCCATGTACATCATTGGTTTGGAATCAAGGTTTTCCAATTCTCTCTGTGTCCACCAACCCGGTTAAAGCAACGGACATTCGCTTTTTGTCCTAGTAATCTGGTAGACAACACCAGCGCCGCGAGAATGCAGTGAGTAGGACTTCCCTAGCAGTGGCTGTATACACGTGACCATTTGAGAGCATTTCGAAGGAGAGAGAGCGGAATCTTCCTATACTTGGCAGTACTAAGGCATTTGGGGGCTATTGTTATTATTATGATTACGATTACTCACTCTGCTATACTAATTCGTTCTTGTTCTTTTTGTTACCATACTTACGTTCCTATCTCTAACTCATCACAACCACATTTTTATTAAGTGGCGCATATACGTTTTGGTGCCCTTTTGTACCAATATTTATGTATTTGAATAAATAAATAAATCAGAGGGGGTTTTGTGGAGAATTTAGTATTTTCACAGTTGAAATCGTGAGTCAATTGAAGCTAGACCACCATCGAAAACCTGGAAGCACTGGACGGCCGTTTCGTCCTATTATGGGATTCCTCAGCAGTGCGCATCCACTAGTGACTGACTTCAAGAGATATTTCCTTGAGTTCTAGTGGGAAGCAGTGGCCAGTGGAGTTTTACCAGATCTGTTGTAAAGATATCAGCTCACTGAAGACAATTGGTGAACGATCGCTCAAAATCGTGAATTGGTTGAAGTTAGACATTAACACCGTTGGATGCCAGCCAGCTCAGTGGTCTATCGGTTAAGGGCTCTGGCTCAAGACTGGTAGGTCCTGGGTTCGAATCTCGCGAGTGCGGGATCGTAGATGCGCACCGCTGAGGAGTCCCATAATAGGACGAAACGGCCGTCTAGTGCTTCCAGGTTTTCGATGGTGATCTAGCTTCAATTGACTCATGATTTCAACTGCGAAAATAAATAATTCCCTAGTTTTTAAATAACTTTATAAATAATGCCAGTTAGTGATGAAGATTAAATAAATAATAAAAAAGACCATTAGTTTCTATGCCAAAAAAGAACAAAAATAATAACTTACTTCACTCATATCAGGTAATTGTTGTTGTGGATTAAGAATATTCATTTGTTGCATTTCTTTTTGTACACTAGGATCATTAGTATTCACTAATTTTGTCAATATCACAACCAGTAATAATGGAACTAGTACATAAAGAACATTTGGATTGAATAATAGATCTAATGTGCGTAGTTGTTCACGTGCCTTATTAAATGAATGAAGTTAGCAAAGAGGAAATTCAAATATTTAAAATAAAAGAATTAATAAGTTAAAAAAAAAGAAAAAAATATATTACTGATAAGACTTGAATCAATTGAATATCATGTTGACTGTTAAATAAGAAAACACAAAACTACATCTACAGATTAAGTTGTAGCCACTTAAATTTAAAGTCTTCATTCATACTAGTGAAAAACAAAAAACATAATCCCTTAGTGACTACTATACAGTTTGGGAATTTAAAACTTGAAAAAAAAAGAAACAATAGCTATCCATTCTATATATATTCCAGCAATCATCACATTCATGTTGAAAATATCCAAACAACCTAACAAGAAAAAAGACTACTCCAATTACAAGAAGTAATGATTAACTGAAGCATTTTACATCATGGTAAATATCTATTGTGCTAAAATACAAATATTTTATTATCTAACTAGTTTAACATGATATTAGAAACATGCATGCAAATTTTTTTTATAATTTCAATAAACTCAATCACCAGGTTACTTGAGTATGAACCACACTCCAAGTGTGTAGGCGCTAATGATACTACATGGTTGCCTAAATCGTAGTAGGTAGACTGGAGTTTGAACCTAAGACTCAGTAGATGAAATTCGAACGGCTTAATCACTAGTTCACTATTCCACACAAATAAATTGACAAATATAGATAGATAGGCTGTAAATCACACATTTACTCACTGCTCAATCCAAAATATACGATTACAAAAACAAGCATTTATCAAAATAACATTGTCATATTGGATTTTTCTGTACTAGATCTAGACTTGTTCATATTTGTGACATTGTTTTATCTAATTTGTCCCTTGTCTTGGAAGAAGCGACTTCGACAGTTTTCAAGAGTCGAAAATCCACTCTTATGCTTAGTGGTACGTTCGCTTTACATCACTTACGCCTCTTCCCCTCGTGGAGGAGTACAAGCTACCGATCAAATCGATTGCTTAAACTACCATAAGCTGATTTCACTTTAAATCAACACACAATTACTTATTTGTTGAGAATTATTACTCATAACTAGTAAAATAGTACAAGCTCAGTTCTAATACCTCTATCAGTTTCCGCTTCATTATTAATTTTTTTTAAAGTAAAAATTTTTCCACGCATCTAGGACAACTGATGAATCTTTTCTAGCCAATTAACCAATTAAATAAATAAAAACTAACTTCATTAATTAGTTCCATCCTCCGTAACTAAGTTATTAGAATGTGATTAAAGAAAATCATAACGTGAAAGTGTGATCTATGACAGATGTAAGGTTTATTGGTTAATATGACGTTTTATTGATTGATTTTTATTTATTGAATCTCGTTAGGATTACTCCAGAAAAATGTACTATAGCCATTACTATGACTTATTATATTATCAAAATTTCGCGCCCAATTCCTCTGTAATTGAAGGTCTATGAAAGTGACTTAATTTTGCGCATTTCTTTTAGCAAAACGCTTATTGGTATTTTAGGGCTATCTTAAACGAATACGACCAGTAATGGTGTTTACATGATATATTTTTAAGATATAGTAAGCTTTCTTTCAAAGGTACATCTTTCTTTTTATTCTGGGTACATCGTTTGGCATAGTTGAAATAATGTCACATTATTATTTATCTGGTATCAATTAACTGCGCTATATCCGCACCTATACCATCCCCAGTATAGACCATTACAGATCTGTACTAACGTATATAAGGGAAATAAGTTGAAACTCATTCTGAATATTAGTAAAATCTTGTTACTACTAAAATCAGAGGGGTGACAACAACTAGGAAAACTGAAAATTAGTTCCCCACATTGTATAACTATTATGATGTTTTGAACACCAAATATCAATACCACGTAGAACCATGCGTAAGACTGCATTGGTTCAAGACATAAAAATTCCCAACAGCAAAGGGGAGATAATGAAGCATAAAAGTCTTTATATTGTTCCAATGAAGTAATAGGTGAGCACTGTTAAAGAATCTAGGAAGAGGGCGAAATAAAGATTCAGTATTTAGTAATTTTTTTAATAGTACTGACCACTGGTGAAATCTAACTTGCAAGACATAACCAATTATCTTCCATTCATAAACTTTAAAACAGGGAATACAGCTTGAGTACAACAGGATTACTAACCTTGAAGTAGACTGCTCTTCCAGAACTGGAAAGACGTAAGGGATACGGGAGTTCTTTCACAGCATTGGGCTGTGGTGCATTTAGTTGACGCGCCCGAATACGACCTTTAGAACTTATGTCAACCCGAACACCCTAGAGATCAAGACAACAGAGTAAGTCAACACTGCTTTACTTTTGTAAAAATACAGATTATTTATTATGTAGGCGATCAATAAAATTATCAACTATTACTAACAATAAAAAAGATTAATAGAAGAGTTTATGGAAAAATTCATCCTAAAAAGGATGGTCAACTTTAAAGGACGAAATAATATATACGAGTCAATCAACAAAGGTTACTTTTAGTTAACGACCGGTGTTATTCAGATGTATGGCTGAAGTTCACGTGGTTATCGTGATCAATGGTTAAAGAATCTGAATGATAAGGCTCAAAATCGTTTGCAGTGGTGCACATATACCCGTTCTTTGAATTCCCGAAATTCTGAGAACTTAAGTTCCTCATAATGTTTTAATGTTTCTTATTTCACCAGTTCATATTTTCTCCTCGAATAGTATCATTGATGCCTAGTCTTTCCCATTACCACTGATGTTATTACAACCTCTCCTATTCTTAGAGTTGGCCCAACTTTATCTCTGTGCTGATGGGGTATGGCAACTTGAATCGACATACATACGTACCAGGTTTCACATTGTGACTGAATGACAGTCTAACAGTTCTCAAAATAAGATTTTCGTAGCAGTTATCAATATTTCAGTCAGTTCTGTAAGCATTACCATAACAGTTCTGCTTGCTTTTTATAACCTTTTGTCAAATTTTATGTAGTGAAAGATCGTTTTATTTATTATTCTGCCAGTCAGACAGTCAGCGACAACGTAGGACCAGCCACATATATGCATCGATTCAAGTTGCCATACCTCGTTAGCACAACAAGATGAACACCGGATTCATAGAAATAGTTAATTTAGTGGTGGTAATATATAAAGAAAGGTTGTATATAAGAATATAGTAAATGAAGGAAGACAGATATGAAGCAATTTTAATCTCAAGGTTTAAGGGAAGATAAAGAGTGTATACACCTACGCCATTGTGATCGATTCTGAGCCATGTCACCTAGAGTCTCCAACCATTGGTTACGATGGTCACGCGGACCCCAACCAGGTAGTCTGCATCTACCAACATGGCTCAGACTACAAGTTAGTGACTTCAAACACTGATGCCATGTTTTGGTTTGGCCGCCCCTAACTCTCTTCCAACCATCCCCTACACTAGTCAACATTGCGCGTCGTGGTAATCGATGTTCAGGCATACGTAACACGTGGCCCAACCATCTCAGTCGATGAACATTCATGACCTCATCCACTGATTTACCGTCATTCCCTAATACCCTGCGTCTAACCTCACTATTACTTACCCGGTGACACCAGAAGATGCGAGCAATATTTCTAAGGCATCTGTGGTCAAATACTAGTAACCTACGAGTATCTTCTACTCTTAATGGCCATGTTTCACAGCCGTAAAGTAGAACAGAACGAACTGCTGCGCAGCATACTCGTCCCTTAATTGATAGACGGATATTTCGTCTTCACCATAGGTGACGTAATTTGGCAAAAGCCAAACGAGCTTTTTGAATCCGTGATGAGATTTCGTCAGACACCAACCCATTATGGCTGATCAGACTTCCAAGATAAGTGAAGTTGTCCACGCATTCGACTACTTCACTCCCTATCCTTAGTTCAGGTGTTGACGCAGGCCAGTCCTGGAGATTGTCTCACTTACACTTGACTTCTTAATTCCGGTTTCTTTTATTGGTCTGAATAGTTGCCTGGTGTTGCCTACAGCCGCTGCCTTTTTCATCTATTTTGCTTTCGTTGCCCACCACTGCTCACGATCGTTCCTTAGACTTTTAGTTAACCTAGATCTAATTTGTTTACGCTCTTCGTCGTGTTCAGAGCCTGATGGGATGAGTTTACGCGAATCCATCAGTGAAATAGACTTAGAAGAAATCCACCGGTTTTTTGGAGCCTTACGGTTTAAATAACTAATAGATGTTACTGCTGTTTCCACAGCTGTTCGTATGTCTTTCCAAGCAGCATCTGGATCAGTCTCATTTACGGAACTGCCTAGATGTGAACTCAGTTGTTTCTGAAATTCGCATTTGGCTTTCTCGTCCTCCAGTTCAATCCTAATGGGTCTTCTTAGTTTACTTTTCCTACGTCCATTGATGCGCAGACAAATGCGCGCTCGTATTAAAGCGTGATCAGAGTCTAAACAAGTATTCCAATAAGAGCGACAATCTTCTATTGAGCCTCTCCAACGATGACTGATGACAATATGGTCTATTTGAGTCCATCGTTGGTTTGGTGCAGGTGGTCGCCATGTTAGACGATGTCTCTCCTTATGCTTAAAATTAGTGCTTGCTAAAAATAAACGATTGTCTGAGCATAGTTGCAACTTTATTTATTTATTTATTTAAACACATAAATATTGGTACAATGAAGCACCAGATAAATATGCGCCTCACAAATCTCATTCGATTTGTGTGAGGGCTGTGATACTGCCCAGGTGCCCAGACTGAAACAGGTGGTTTTCTTAGGGGGCCACACCCGGAGCCTTTGACTTGAATGTCTGATCCACAAGGCAGTGGAGCATCGTGAGGAGATGCAGTCCCATGGTAGCCGTTGACCAATGACAGGTTCGTCCGCCATTCGTTCCATCAGGATACTGGAGCCCATGTGCACCATTGGTTTGGAATCAGGGTTTTCCAACTCCCCTAAGTGGACCCTCTGTGTCCACCAACCCGGTTAAAGCGCCGGACATTCGCTTTTCGTCCTCTCACTTTCGTAAACAACACCCCCGCCACGAGAAGGCAGTGAGTAGGACTTCCTTGGCAGAGGCTATATATTCGCTGGCCATATGAGAGTATTTCGAGAGGGAGAGGTGACTCTCCCCACTCTCGGCCGTACCAGGGCATTTGGGGGCTATAAGCAGAGATGGATAGTGGCTAGCAGTGGAATCCAGGACGCACGTTTTATCTTATTTGGGACTCGTCAGCTGGATGTAACTGCATCTCAGAGTTGATGTTCACTCTGGGACTCGAACCCAGTACCCTCGCTTCAAACACCATCGTGTTATCCACTCGGCCACTGACGATCACCATTATCGGTTCGTTGAGCTCAGTGGTCTATCGATTAAGGGCTTCGGCTCGAGACTGGTAGGTCCTGGGTTCGAATCTCGCGAGAGCGGGTTCGTGGATGCGCACTGCTGAGGAGTCCCATAATAGGACTAAACGGCCGTCCAATGTTTCTAGGTACTCGCTTCGGCGGTACATATACTAAAATTGGAACGATACAGAGAAGATTAGCATGGCCCCTGCGCAAGGATGACACGCAAAATCGTGAAGCGTTCCATATTTTCCACACTCCCTGTCACCACAACCACTCAGTGTGATGGCTGATGCCACAGAGTTCACTCACTCTCCATCCTCCCTGATACACCACGAGTGAGCTACACGATCGGTCCTCAGATTGACCGCCCACTGACCAGTGGTGACATGTGGCTGAGTGGTTGTTTCATTTCCTCACTAACTAACTGATTGACATGATTCACTGAACAACAATCAAGAGAAGATGGTGTTGTGACGACCGAATACACTATCACTGGTGACCATTGCAAGATAATTCAGTCAAGCCGAAGAGGACTTATGCCCCCAAATGCCCTGGTACGGCCGAGAGTGGGGAGAGTCACCTCTCCCTCTCGAAATACTCTCATATGGCCAGCGAATATATAGCCTCTGCCAAGGAAGTCCTACTCACTGCCTTCTCGTGGCGGGGGTGTTGTTTACGAAAGTGAGAGGACGAAAAGCGAATGTCCGGCGCTTTAACCGGGTTGGTGGACACAGAGGGTCCACTTAGGGGAGTTGGAAAACCCTGATTCCAAACCAATGGTGCACATGGGCTCCAGTATCCTGATGGAACGAATGGCGGACGAACCTGTCATTGGTCAACGGCTACCATGGGACTGCATCTCCTCACGATGCTCCACTGCCTTGTGGATCAGACATTCAAGTCAAAGGCTCCGGGTGTGGCCCCCTAAGAAAACCACCTGTTTCAGTCTGGGCACCTGGGCAGTATCACAGCCCTCACACAAATCGAATGAGATTTGTGAGGCGCATATTTATCTGGTGCTTCATTGTACCAATATTTATGTGTTTAAATAAATAAATGAGCCGGAATACTAAAACACCCACCTAAATGTCTTTCTGTTTGATTTAAGCTGCCTACCTGGACATTAAAGTCACCCGCTACGACTACTATGTCTGAGCGCTTAGCTTTCTGAAGAAGCTCAGAGAGCTTTCTGTAAAAGTCATCTTTCACTTCATCATGGCTGCAGTCAGTGGGAGCGTAGGCAGAAACGACGAAAAGGCAACGACGTGTGTCCCTATCCTTCCGAAATCTTACGGAGCCATTTAGCCGGACAGCACACAGGCGATTGTTAACGGGGATCCTTTCTAGTAGTGCCTGTTCTGCCCTTGTACTTAGTGCTATGCCTACACCTGCAAGTTCACGATAACTAACCAACGGGTCGCCAGATACACGGAGGGTGTATTTCGTTGGCTGTCCATTTTGGCAAGGTGAGGTCAAGTGAATGACCACATTAGGATCCTGTATGCGTGTTTCGGAGACAGCATACATCAATCGTACGAGATTCTAGGGTTTTAGCTAAGGAGGCCTGTTGACCGATTTGACTTAGGGTACGTACGTTGAAGGCTCCAATGTGTAGTTTGGAGCGAGGTTTTAGTAGACCTAGGACAGCGTTTCGCGCACTAGAATCGTTGGCCATGGTGACACTTGAGGAGGAAACTGAAAGTGGAAGTTTAGTGTTGAAAGTCAAGGTAGAAGGAATAGTAGGAAGTGAAGAAGATTGATTATGAATACAGTGGTCTTGAGTGTTGTTAGAGGTATGAGGGCAGTTATCACTTCCCGGTTGCCCACACCGTGGAAGGGTTCTTCTAGGGGTACCTGAAAAGGAAATTGGGTTAGAAGTGGTCAGAGAGCGTGGCCGCAATGCCCAAGGGACAACTGCTTGAGGCCGGTCACACACGACCTTTTTGTGGGTAGTTTTTGTGTTAGCTCCGTTCTTCAAAAGTCCTTACCGCCGGAGACGGATATCTGTGGGATAAGGTGAGGTGTGCATTTTTAAAGTCGACCTTTTCTAACCCCACCCCTCCTTGTGGGAAGGCAGCATCGCTGTCATGCTGGTTGTCTGAAGGAAACACCTTACTGTTGTCACACCTCTGTACAGTCAGCAGTACGACTTCGCCTTCGGACCTTGGGTTTGCTGCTTTTAATCTCACCGCTCTTCAAACGACCTGTCTGGCATGGTAGGACCTTGAGGAACGATTGTTCCAGCCAGTATAGCTCGATTGAATCATCATGATAGGCAAGCCCGACCACCACGTCAAGGTAGCAGCAACGGTCGGGTTATTATTCTGTAGAGTCAACAACAAAATTTCTCAACATCAAGAAACGGTTGTTAATATGTTAATATTCTAACCAAAGTAGCTCGTGATTGGTAAAGGAGCACAAATCGATGCAACTGATACATCGCATAGAAGTAACTGCATATATTGCAATATTAACAAATACTACTTGGGCTTTGTGTCAATAGAACTTATATTCTTACTGATATCTCATTTTCATTTGAATGGTTCGATTATTGATATGATTAAGTCTATACCAACGTTATAATATTATTAATGATGGGGATTTGCAATAAACCACGCTATTAGTATGTATTTTGTAGTCCTCCATTTTAAATCCTTACAAATTGATCATATTAAGCTACTGTTATGCCAACAAAGTACGACAAATGAAATTATGAAGCTCAGCATGTTGCAGTCATCCAGGTTAACCATCTGTCTCTGCTGTCTGTGAATATTATTTCTTGTAGTAGGATGAATATTGAGAAATTCAAAACTTTCTGAGCTATATTTCGGACTATTGTTATTACCATTCATATCTTTGTTGTATAATGAGTGACTGTACGGTTGAATTTCCATAATACTCTTATTGAAAGCTCTCAGTCAGTCAGCTGCAACGTATGACCAGGCACATATATGCTCTCAGTAGACCTATTGTCTTCTGTTATACATTTTACAATTCCTGAAATATTTCCAATTAACTACGTACTGTTTACACTACCCTCTACCACTTATAGTATGCTTGTGCTTAAAGTGGTTTCTTATTCGGCATGCTATTGGGTTAGGTATTTCAATCATGGTTGAATTAGGTAGAACAAACAACTAATCTGCTTACTGTTTGAATCTTCTGATTGGCAACCGGGTTAGAAAGGGCTCGAGTATCAACAAACGTTAAGACCTTGATTGTCGTTCATTGGTCAGTGTGTTAAGTCGTGAAATAGGTCAACGGTGGGACTGGCAATATATCACGTGATATCTATTAGAATCTCTAACCATAGCAAGTCAATAGTTTCTCAAGACATAACAATATTGAAAATTGTGTAAGCGAATTGATTTTTTACCCTGATGGTGGAATGGCTTTTGAGGAGTCGTTTAGGCTCTATGTGGAATTATTCCGTTAATACTCACCTGGAAATAATAAACTGGATTGATGACTTCAACTATATATGATCCAGATGGAACATTAGTCACTTCGAAATTACCATCTGCTTTCACAAAACCAACGAACTGATCACCAGCTATGTTAATCCGTGTGTTGACATGCCAGTCTGGAGGAGCTTCAGGAGGCATTACGACAGTACCTTCAATGACGTAACTATAACACTTGCTAAGATGGAAAATCGTGAACAACCAAACGGGATATTGCCACATGAGGAATCAATTGTGTAGAAGAAACTTATGAATAGCTCTAGATAGAGTATGTAACCCAATTATACTACTTCTTGATCGGTTCAAGGGTGATATACCTAGAAAGAAGACGAATAAGAATAATATGGTTGGGCATAAAACAATATTCAATACAATCCCTGAAGGTTATTATATATTTACTTGAAAATTCATAAAAACTGTTTACGTTATCTGAATTCAGAATCACAGTTGGATATGATTATCCGCATGAGCTTTTGGTTAGTTTAGAGGATTCAAACAAAACAACAATTTCCTCAGATACGTGAAATATTATGACAAGCAAACAACAGTTGTGAGTGCCACTTTTTCTCAATCGGTCATATTTTAAACCATTATACCGACCCAAAATCATAAAAGGCATGAAGAATAAAATACAAACAGTAGTAGACAATACTGCGTGCAGAAATTAGATTTGGATGATCCCAACTATTGAAATTTAGAGTTTCGACGTTTCGGACAAGATTTCCGGCCGAAACGTTGGAACTATCTAAATTCCAAGTGTTGAGATTGTTCAAATACAGTTTTTACACGGTCTTTTATAAACTTGGCCCCCAATTTCTGTTAAACGTCGTCCAAATTTTCAAGAGATTTTATAGAAAGTAGCAGACAAGCAATGAAAAAAGTAATAGAACCATGGGGTAATGGGTAGGGAAAATTAACGAGTAATAGGGTGCCCTAAAATCAAAAGGGAGTGAAATCGTGTTCATAAGATTAATTTTCAACACTAATTAGTTTACAAACGTGTATCACAAGACAAACCAAACCGGAAAACCTGAGCAATTTCACACAATTCAAATCTCGAGTCAGTGACTAACTGAAATCTTGTTTTATTTTGAATAATGTTGATATTGGAGTCTCAGTGTGAGCATCAACACTAAGACGGTGTGTTCAGCCGATGAGTCACAAATAGGACGAAATCAATGTGCTGGATTCTACTGGTACCACATGCCAAATATACTAAAACCTATGACGATCCAGTCCACCGAAAATGTACACGGTAACAGATTGACCAATCACAGTCGTAAATATCGACAGTGGGAAATTACAAGCCTTGTTGACAAAAATTGGAATTGCCATTTATTTTTGTGAAGCGTAGGACCAAGCACAAATCACATAATCACCATAGTGCGGTGAACTCAATCAAATGAGTGGCAAACGAATTGAAATAATGGTAGAAACAATCATTGCAGGAAATAATAAACGTAAAAATGTTTGAAAAAAGGAAAAAAATGCTATCAGTAATATGATGATTTAGACCGCTTCACGCACTACTGGGAATGGAAACTTAGGTAGTCGTGACATGCAAATACTGTGTTACACTCTAGCTACGCACGATTCTTTAACAACTATTTTTTTCCAGTAGTGGAAGATCGGGATACTAATAATTATATAGTGCACCATCATGATTTAACGCCTTGAAAATGCTATTAAAACATTGGTCGGATGGTTAAGGGGGTGAAACTATACTACCTCACCAAATTAATCAAGCTTATGGTGCCAACTCTTGGATTTTCATGCGAAATTGAAAACTCTGACGGATAGTCTGTATCTTTAGTCAATAATGTCAACTACACACCCCATTTTGGTTTATTCCAATGAAGATATAATGGTTCGGCACTTACAAGACATTGGGCTGCATAGATATATCATTTTAAGTGGGTGGGGACAACAAATGACGGGCAGAAATGGTATAGATATATTAAGCGAACTAGTATTAAACTGAACAGTATGGTGATTCAAAAAAAATAAACACGAAATAGTATATTATTCTCTAGATCGAAAATGAAATCGCAGCACATTGCGGCCTTTGTGGTTGAAAGAATTCTGAAAAAATGCTATCACTGCTGCTCCGCTCTCAAATCTAACTTTATTTACTGAAGTACAGTATCAATCAGTCAGTCATCTACAACGTAGGACCAGGAATATATATGCGTTGGTCCAAGTTGTCACACCTCCTTAGCACATCAGGATGAACACCGAACTCATAGAAGCAGTTACTTACATGGCAGTAATATATTTATAAAAAAAAGATTGCATAAAAGAATATGATACAGGGAGAGTTACCAGTAACACAGAAATGTTTGATCCGAGATGCTTTTGAGTTTATGCATTTTAATCAGGGTTTGAATAACTACCGAAATTGTTGCACACGAAAGGAATTGCAATAAAGGTAAAAGTATCAAAGTAAATTAGGTAGTTAGTAGTTTCTTTAATTTTATTAGTAGGTTTTCGGGATATTGAATAGTATTCACTATTATTATTCAAACACAAACATTGGTACAAGGCATCAAATACATATACATCACACAAATCAAATGATTTGTGTGTTTTGGGATACTACCCGGATGCCCAAACCGAAGCAGGTAGTTTTCTAAGGGGGCCACTCCCTGAGCCTTTGACCTAGAGGTCTAATCCACAAGGCAGTGAAGCAACGTTACGAGATGCAGTCCCATGGTAACCAGTGACCAGCAACAGGTTTATACTTACTTTATCCTTTAGGATAGTGGAACCCATGTGCACTATTTGTTTGAAATCAGGGTCTTCCAACTCCCCTAGGTAGATCCTCCGTGTCCATAAACCCAGTTAAAGCGCCGGACATTCGTTTTTCGTACTCTCAATTTCGTAAATAACACGTCAATACATTGCAAGTAGTGGGGAAACATTTGTACTTACAATTAGAAAGTACGTGCAAGCTGGAACAATAGTATGTTCTGACAAGTGAGTAGCCTATCGGTGTCTCAAAAGGTAATATAACGTTATTCTACTTGTCTTTTAACATAAGAAATTAAAATTTATACGAACTCTTAATATGAGTAAAAACTTATTGGAGTGCTAGACTGCTTCTCTGATACTAAATTCATATGAAAAGCAATATAAAAATGCATCGATGATTCTGGATCATCCTGCCTTTAAATAATTTATGAAGCCAAAGGTAGTTATCTGAATGTATCCGTATGATTTCAACAATATTCATTGAAACCACCTGGGTAAACAAAATGAAGTTTACGAACGACAAAATTCAAGGGCGATCACCTTAAATTTGACTGACTCTTCGGTATACTATAGTTTTACCAAAGGGTTCATGGTGAACATACGAACCCAGCCAACGAAGATAGTGAAATAAACCCGAACACGGGGAAAACGGAGACAACTTTAAAAACAAGGAAAGATAGACAATGAGCCAAAATATCTGCTTGTTCACCTGATAAAAAGAAATAGCAAGACATTCTCTCCAAACGTCTCCCTGAAAAGGAAGTGCCTACGAATCTACGCCGATCTACTTTCCACTTAAATTTACCCCGAATTGTCCACTCTTCGCGTACACAGTGGACTGGTTATTACACAAGTAATCGACTTTCAGCTTTCCTTTTATCAAGGAAACTAACCATGAACACAGAGCACTGTGTAGAAAGTTCATGGACTATATTCAGAAGTCTGATACTTAGAATATCTATTTCTCAGTCGTAGGGCAATTAAGGAACATAAATGATGAGCCACCTAGATTTCTGTAGAAGTTCGGACTTCTATATGAATAAATGAGTTCATCAAAACTCGTGTCAATTACGCAATAAGATAAAACATATTTAAGAAAGTGAGAAAACTTCCTACGATATTTGAAGACTTTCAAGAGAGCTCATACGTACAGGAAAACGAACACTAAACGAAAATTATCATAACAATCGTTTTGATAAGATCACACTCGAGCTTCCTTAAAGCTAACAAACATCTAGACGTGCCGAAACCATTGAAGTTGCCCGCGCATAGACCTCAGTATCCAACTAAACTATGTGTAATATGAATCAGTTTTCAGCTATGAGAATAAGAGGTCAATCAACGTATTTTAATCTTTGGAACTTTTAGTACTGTGAAGATCCAACCTTGCTTGAAATGTGTCACCAGAAGTGATTATATTACGTGTTATGGTAGGTAATTCCAATAAATCACTACTCCGAGTAAGTAACGGAACTCCAGACGCCAATTATTTAATTTCGATTATTGAAATTTCTTGTAATATCCACTCGAATGAACCTCCCTAGACTCAAGGGAAAGATATACTAATACCAAGATCGTTCAGTACACGATATGTCAATATCAAACCACTCCGTAACCTGTGATATGATTTCGGAAAAAGGGATGAGACATCCCAGTCTATCTTCTTAAGATGGATCAGTTAGACCTTACACCATTTCGGCCCCTCATTGTCAAACTAGTTCTAGTATATCCGCTCAATATTTGAAACAAAAACTCGCTGTTCGTACCTCATATTCCAAATGCATACTCACAAAAGTTGGGTTGAATACCCTAAATATTCCTCTGCCTAAGAAATGAAACGCCTTACAAAGAGTTGATAAGACTCTGAAGCATTCAACAGTGACATGCTTACAGTTACTGGTAGTTTTGAGGTCGTTGTTTATTATGACTTCTAGATCTTTATGGTCTATTGATTTGTGTAACACAACTTTACTTACTGTGTAGTGATATACAACTTCGCAGCTATTTATTCGTATCGTTTCGCTATTATTGAAATCAACTTCTAATAACCGCCAACACATCCACTCACATTTTGACTTCAGGCCGTCGTGTTATATTGTCCTATCTGATATACAGTGTATTGGTCTTTAAATCTTTATATGATCTGCAAAGAGCAGAACAGATGAGTTTGCAACGGTCGGTAGGTCATTTACATGAGTTGCTGCTGTTCCAAGCCCAGGTATGGAAGGAGGGCTGGAATAGTGTCAGCTACCTTATCCTATTACTAAGAAACGCTATCCGCTTTATAAACCGGACTGATTATTACGTATGTACGGTCTCTTAGCGCACTGTATCGCCAAGAAATATCAAACAGTTTTGTTAGAGATTTGAAGACTACATCCACCACAGCTCTCATGATTCTAGGATAAATATCATCAGAACAAGTGAACTTTTCTGGCCTGAGATGTTGAAGTATTTGTTAGGTAACTCCC